GTTTTTACAAAGCAAGGTGATAATTTACATGGCTGACATCCCATTTTTAGTATTTCAAATGAACATGCATCACTCAGACTTCCCACAGTAGTTTTAAATTACAGATATGCTGCTCCACTATACCGCAATTCCTTCCTGCAGTGCCTCTTAAAAAAAAAAAAAAAAAAAGATTCCTTTTTATAGCTGCAATGCCAAAAATATTTAGCAAGGTCAGGTCTGATTTTTGCCAGTACTTTCCTCAGAGACTAAGTTGTGACATCAACACCCTTTCTTAATATATCCAGTGTGTTTTGGAACCTTTCTGGCACAAAAGCATAGCCCACTTAAGTCTTATGTTTAAATACTGTTTTGCTCAAGTCACAAACTAAACATGATACATTCATTTTAGAAAAATCCCAATTATTCAGAAGTTGTTTGTTTGGTTTTCTTGCTTATCTAAATATGTTAACTATTCATAAAATCTTTTCTTCCATCAGAACACTCTCTCAAATAAGTCTGAAAAAGATGCCATAATTAGTTTATACCCATTTGCCCAAGCCTAATTCTTTATTAATATGTATCCGTTTCTAAATACATTTGATTATTGTACTTCAAGTAAGTAAAAATATTACATAATTTTCATGCTTTCACAGTATTTTACTCTTAGCTCCTTTAATAATCAGTTCTTACATCTGAGGTTACCTGTACAACTAATTTTAAGTATATATTTATATAAGTAGTTGTTCTCACATACATACTAAGAATTACTGATATTCAGCATTTAGTCTACCCAGAGCTTAATCTTGCAAATGAATGACAATAGTACATCTACTGTGGGAGATCATTTCTCATCTGTTCACTCTGCAAAACTTAAAAGCTGCTAAATAAATTGTGTAAGATTAGATCCAACAGCCTGGCAAAGCACTGGACAGGATTTTTAAACACATTTTTTAATAATTAAAGAGAGTCTTAAGAGTTTTTTTAATCACATTTTCCAGACACACACTTAGTAATAAAACCACCATTATATCCCATAACGGATTTAAGATATTTTTAAGGGAAATATGAGTTTGAATGACTAATAGTTACCTTATCATGAAGTAGGCTTATAATTTTGCTATCTGAGTCTGCAGCGTCTTCAGTTCAGTCTCTTCGCGCATTAGCACGCTGAGTATGATTTATTATAGAAATGTTATCATGTGAGCTAAACAATATATTATTCAATTTCACAAAAACTCGCCTAGATTTTTCTTTCCTCCTTTTTTTTTTTTTTTTTTTTTTTTTTTTTTTTTTTTTTTTTAACAGAGCTTCCATTGGAATGGGAGAAGGAGAAGTTCCTGACCCGGGTTTGAGGTTATAAAGTGCCTTATCTGTTCCAGCCTATTGCCCCACATGGCTTAAGCTTCTTTATGACTATTTCGATGCTCCTGCTTTGCTTGTTTCAGCTCTTCTCTGGTGTGTGAGCCAGTTATTTTTAAGGCATTATTGATGCTGTCTCTTCTCACTCCCCTATATATTCACACACTCACTTATTCATTTATTTTAAGAGACAGCCCTCTGAAATTTTTGCTGCTACTGTCACATTTCCAGCTGACTCAGCTTGTTTGTCAAGCTATGACAGCCTTTACAATTAAAGGATGCAATAAACAGAGCTCAGTGCGATGGCAAATTACTTTTAATACACCTAAGTAGACAGGTATGTATTATTCAAAGTCCTGACCACTGACCAGGAACAAGGCCACCCAAGGCTTTTGGATAATGGAAGCTCTGTAAAAGTGTTCAAGAATACCATTCTACTTCTCCACATGAACTCTCTCTTTTGGATGTTTCCACAAAAGTTTAAAAAAAAAAAAAAGAAAAAAAAAAAGAAAGAAATTAAGTTACTAGTTTCTGAAAGCATTTTCTATAAAACTATTACCTTGTCAACATGATGGCTGCAATCATGCTTCACTATGAAAGGCTCTCCATATCCATTTTTAAGCTTAAAGTTCTCAATTTCTTGTACTTACCATAAAGTCATTTATATAAGTTTACACATATGTGCATTACTACAAGATACTTTTTAAGATGTACAATTACCTAAACGCTACAAAGTGTTAATTACCTCTTTGCTTCTGCTCCGGCTTCTGTGTTTTCTTCCTTCAGTGTCTGGAGAAGAAAACATTTGCTGTCATTTGCCAAGATAAAGAGGAGATCACCTGCCTATAATCTTTCTAGCTCCTTTCAATTATTCCATCCTTTAAAGTCAAGATTTAAAAAACAAACAGCACTATTTGAGTATCTACTGCAGAAAGCAAACTCTGGCTGTTAGTTCCAGTGCTTTGCAATTATTTAAGCTATGACAGTGAAAAACTAACCCACATCATACTCCAATCATAACCTTGTTCTTGTTACAACTATGCAAAAGTATCCCACGGTCAACGCCTGTCTAACAAAGTGAAACCAAATGGGACAGTTTCCTGTTTGGTGTGGTCTGACTGTGTGATGTTCGCCTCAACACTGATAAGACCTTTTCCCTCAACAGTTTCAACATTCAGGATACACCCCAAAAGTTAGCAGATCCATTTTTTCCCCAATTCTAACAAGTTACTAGGGCTAAGTCTGCCTATTTTTCCCAAAATTAGTTCTGAGGGAATTCAGCTGCACAAGCAATTTGCTCCCATCAAGTCCGTACCTGACTTCCGTCTTCTCTCCCTTGACCGTGAGCGTGATCTCGAGTAATGATGCTTTGATGTTCTGGGAGAACTGGAGGCGTCTGATTGTTCCTTTTTCTTCTCTCTTTCTGGAGAGGATTTTTCTGGGACTACTCCATCTCGTTCTGTATCACTACCCTACAGAGAATTTGTAAGAAACAGAAGCTTAGGACTGAAAACCAAGAAAAAACCAATTTACCTCATGCTTCCTCTGAAGATATATCTACATTTTTTTTGGTAAAGACAATGCTGTGGTCACCCCATGCTTAGGCAAGAGCTTTATAGACCTGCAGTGAACTGTTTAACTGCATGCAGATTGATTTTTCAAGATTTTAATAAAGAGAACTGACATAAAGTTCACATTTTGCTCTCTCACTACATTAAACTGTACTTTACTTTTTCCATTTACTTCTGAGAGTATCAGTAACACTAAATTCTGAGGCAGAGTTTTCTCTAAATGGTGTTTGTAGGTCAGTCACTTTTTAGCATTTCCATGCCCAGGATTACTTAAGTTCAACGCTGTCCCAACAGATCTGAGTGACCAGTTTGGGCACAAAATTCCCAGAGAGTTCTGAAGCACGGAATGAACTCTGAAGGGAAATGCAGGAAGGTGCATTAGGGTTAGACAGCTCACTCTGGAATGAGGAAACACCTCATCAGTATCTCTGCAAAAAGATTTATTTGTAGGAGACTACACACAGGTCACTTACACCCGTTCCAAGATCACATTTTTACCAGATAATGAAAACCAAGATGTTCCCTCCACTCCTTCTAAACACTGATCTAGGAGGATTAAATAAAAAACCTGATTTTGTAAAATCAAAATATTCTGTGACTCAATGTGTGAACAAAACAGGAAAACCTCTCAAATGCTCATCTATATCCACTGCTTTGAAAATAAAGCAGCTACTTTGTCTTAAACCTCAACAGGTATTATAAATTGCCATTAATACACTGTGTGCTAATACCACACTTTCTTTATGACACCCTACAGGTAAATATTTGGATTTATGTTTCAGCTACTACTGTTTATATTGTGAAGTTATTTGAGAAGAACGAGAATATCAGCTAGGAGTGTAAATCGGGTGGGATTTAAAACACACTATCCAAGTGAAACTGAGCCCACTGCCACAATTTCCAAGGCTACCAATCTCATTATTTACCCAGTGCTGCTCGTTAGTGCCCTTGTGCTCTGCACCTGAGGGAAATCTCTGTGCTACAGAAAAAAAACCAGCAATTAAAAACCTGACAGAATTCACTGAGATTATTCCCAGTTCTCAGACTGGCACCTGGCTCAGTGTTACCTTGAATAAAGCTCTCACCTACACTTCACAGGAACCTCTAAATATAGTAGTAGAATCTTCAAGTGCAAGACCAAAGTACATAATTAAAGTCCTTTTACAGAAAAATGTACCTTACTCTTAACAGCGTAAGTTATATAACAAAAAAACCCCAAAATCATTATATAAGAATTAATTTTTCCCAGAAGTTTAAAGTCCTCCTGGCTCTGTTTCACCACTGATCAAACTTTCAAGACAAGAACTTTAACTAACAGATTAGACATCGCAAAACGCTTAAAGTCAGCTTTAAAAAGTTTTATCACTTTCCAGCCCTGTTTGTTTGTTACTTTGGGGGATTTTTTTTTGCACTCAAAACTATTTAACAACTTTTGAAAAAACTGACCACATCAGGTTAACTCTCTGATAACTCTTACTGAGTCTTCGAAACAATTCGAGGCGAAATATCTTTGTACACTACCAGATCACAAAATTTTTTCAGAGAAAATAAAACCACACTTAGACCCTGCTTGAACATGAAGGGCTGTGGTAACTACAGCAAAGGCGTTTCCCATCGATATTAACCATAAAAAGCAGGACGGGAGCGAATTAATTGAACGCAAAAAAGCCTGTGAACAAACACAAAGGGCGAAGAAAAGGAGAGAAAGGAAAATTTAGCACGGCACAGACACCAGATCGCTCCCCTCACAGGGAAGCTTCGCCCCACAGTCCCCACGAGAAACGCCAGTACGACCACAGCACTTCTCCCCAAAGCCATGCATCCACCAGGGCTCAGTCTTAGGGAGTCTTCTCCTTTCCCCAAGCCCTGAGGAACGAAACAGAAACTTCTGGAGACGGGGATTGAAGCGGTGGGCGCAGCGCGGCCGCCCCTCCCCGAGCCCATCATGGCGCCGCAGCCGAAGGCGCGGCGGGCGCCATTTTGTGCCTCCGCGCACACGGCTCCCGACCGGGCCCTCCCCGGCTCTGCCCCCCACAGCCCCTTCCCCGCCACCCTCGCCCCAAAATCCGGCAGCGACCGCCGCTCACCGCCATGACCGAGCGCCCGGGCCGCCGCCCCTCAGCAACGTCCTCGCAGGGCTCGACCTCCCTCGGCTGCGCGGCCAGAGCGATCGCGCGGCCCCGCCCGCCCGTCCCCACTGCGGGTGCCCGGATGTGGCGCTGGGGGGAGCGCGGGGGAGCGCGGTGCGTTATGGGCCGGGGAGGCGCCTTCGCATTCGCGGAAGTTTGGCCGCCAGCGGGACCCGTTGAGCCGGTCCTGTCTCCCGCCAAATTGAAACACGGGAGCGGCCGAGGGGGCGCGGTCAGGGGAGCGGGGGGACCCCGAGGGCACGGGAGTGTCACCGGTGAGGGGAGCGGGGGGACCCCGAGGGCACGGGAGTGTCACCGGTGAGGGGAGCGGGGGTCCCTCAGGGCACGGGAGTGTCACCGGTGAGGGGAGCGGGGGGACCGCGAGGGCACGGGAGTGTCACCGGTGAGGGAAGCGGGGGGACCCCGAGGGCTCGGGAGGGGACCGCGAGGGCACGGGAGTGTCACCGGTGAGGAGTCCCTCTGAAAACAGGGATGTCACCGGCCGCAGTGAGGGACGGGGGTCCCTGTGGGCAGGGGTTTGTCACCCCTGTCAGGGGCAGCGGTTCCCTGAGGGCAGGGGATGGGGGTCCCTGTGAGCAGGCGGTCCCTGCGGGCTGGGGTTTGTCAGCAGCAGAGGGGATGAGGGTCCCTGAGGGCAGGGAAGCTGTCCCTGTGGGCAGGGGGTGCTCACAGCATGGAGGGCAGCGCTCTGGCAGTGAATTTAGTTGGTGAAATCTCTTCTCCCCAAGCTGCCCTCAGCCAGGGATCCACACTGCTCGCTTGGCTTTAAACGAGCTCTTTATCCTCACGAGGCTTCTTGTACACAGTGCCCCCACACACAGTGATACAACTAATAACTTACCTATAGCCACGTAACATTTTAGAGCTGTCTCCTCTACAAGATGTTCCCGAAATGTTTATGCCAGGCAAAGATGTGGAACGAGATCGAGCTCCTGCTGAACGAGGACACCACGGGGCAGCTCCCGGTGGGGCTGGGCCAGGAGTGTGGCACCGCCTTGTACCAGGTGGATACCCTGCTGCAAATCACATCTTCAGAGAAGGTACAACCCATCAAAGCTGTGCTTTTGTCTTTCATTAACTTGTTTGGGGCTTTTTTTTGTCTAATAATTACCCGGGCTCCTTCGCCGTGTTTTCTGGAGCATTCCTGTGTGAAACAACCTTTCCCTTCCCAGGTCTCTGTGAACCCCCAGCTCCATGCATGCAGCTCCAGGGATGGCAGCATTGTTGTTGTGGACAGATCTGTGGCACTTCTGGACAGCACTGGGCTGTCTCTTCTGATGCACATCCAGTTTGGTGAGTTCTTTACTTTGAAATTTCACATGGCAAGTGAAAACTGGCTTTTAAAATACCTAGGTTTGTACAGGAAAACATAGCAAATGTCTGACTAGCCTGTAAAGGGAAGCATTATAACAAGTACCTAAGCAATAAAAAGTGATTTTGGCTTCTGAAAGCAATTAATTCTTTCAGTACAATTTAATAAGAATCCTTTCTAAGTTCTCACTGAAGCGGGAATAATGGAAACAGAAACCACTCCCTGTAGGCTTCTTCATGTATTTCATTTAGTCAGAATAACTTGTTTTGAAGAAATCTGGGACACTGTGTTGTCCAATTCTTGTGTTAATATTTATTCATAAAACCCAAATCTTGATATCTGACATTTTGCCATGAAACTTTTCAGATACTGACGTGGATGTAGTGGGTATGTGTCAGGACAAACAATTCCTTGTGGTTGGTGAGAGAAGTGGCAGCTTACATCTTATCCACATCCCATCCAAACAAACCTTGCTAAGAAAGGTACAGTAACTTTTCTATTTAATTTTGCTCAGAACGTTTTGTTCTCAGACTTTCTTGAGGTTTTTCAAATAATTTTTCCAGATACCAAAGTATAAACATCCTTGCCTTTTTGACCACATATTCTAACTAAACAGGTGAAATGGGCACTTCTGTTCCCATGAGTAATGAACAAAAAAAATCCATTTAGGAATGGCATGCATAAACAAGAACCTTCATAACAAAAAGTTTAAACTGATGATCAATATTTCAATTTTTTTAGTGAAATACAGAATAATAGTCTTTATGCTGTTTCTATTTTAGGTTTTGGTTGAACAATCTACAAGTGAAAAGACTTACTTAAATCTCTTTTTTGTTAAAGATAATGCAGATGCAGGTAAGAAGTGGATGATTTTTTTCTCCCCCTCTGTCTGAATTTTTGTGATTTTGTTCCCCTTTAATAGCTCTCAGAGAAAGAGATTACAAAATGAGTAATACATGAAAGCATAAAGAAAAGTTAATTTTATGTGCACAATGCAAAGCAAAGATGTAGAAGATTCTTTATCTCATTAATTATTTTGCAAATGCCATAGGAAAGAAACGTTCAGAACTCAATACCTTTTTCTTTTGAGACTGTGATAAACACATGAAAATGTGGAAGAATTCATTCTTTCTTCTTTTATCAGAGTTCAGTGGTTCTGTTCTTTAAGCTCCCAGCCCTGTTCTGTCACAATGGAATCTATTATTCTGCTCCTAGTTGGAAGTGACAAAATTTTTGTTTAAAATGGTCTAATCTATTGGTCAGATGATTTTTTTGGAGTCAGTTATTTCACTGTCCTGTTTACAAGCAAGTCTTCTCTTTACTTGCTCTTGAATACTTCAGTTTGAAATATTTCTGTTGGGTTTTTTTAGGTGTTTATCACATGTTCATTCTCACGAGCAATGGATGCTTCTGCATTATGTGTGTCCCTCTTGGAAAAACACAGGAAGGTAGGATAATCTACAGATCCCTTGGGATTTCATTGGAACAGAGAGACCTGGATTCAAGAAGTTCCTTTGTTCCTTTTTAAAATTTTGAGAAAGTTTATTTAACACCGATTTTATTTTTTTTAATATTTAGCAATTGAGAAGATGGATATGACTACAGCAAAGCAAGTAAGAAACACCTGCAAAACTGGTAAAATTGTTAAAAGTGCAGGGTTTGTCACCAAACTTTGCTCTGTACATTCCACTGACTATTTCCCAGTCCATTGTTTCTCCTCATAGCTGTGACTGTTACTTTTTCTGTACATTTAGAAATGAGCAGAGATTTTATCCATTGGTTCTATAAAGAATTCTTTTTCTTCCCCATTTGTGGACATCCCTTCTCTCCCACCCACAAGTTACAAGGACAGATAAAGACAACTTTCATTGCCATGGGAGAGCATCACAACCTGGGCTGTCAGGATTTTGTCATCAGCAGCTCAGTGAACAAAATCCATCTGATAATTGGGGTAAGCACTAAGAACATGATCAGAACAATTTTCATGTGATCACTGGTGGCATTTTTGGATCTGCAACAAAATTTTTCTCCAGCTGCTTGACATTTGTCTCAGCTTTTTGCCCTGTTTTGCTTTTCATTTCCTTCACTGTCAATTTAAAGGTTGTCACTTGTGCAGCCTGTCCATAGTTTTTCTCATAAGGAAATAACTGTTGTCATTTCCAAAATTACTTTGTTGTGATGGATGAGGGGAAAATATTTTCACCCTGAGTTTCTGAGCTTAGTGAATCACCAGTTCCTGGTCTGTACAGGCTGGATTGTTTATTGATATTATCCTTGAGCTCACAGAAAAAAACCAAAGCTGGCAAGAATCTTCCAATCAGCTTCTCATTCAACAAGGCCTGCTAAAATAACAAGGTCTAATTCAACAAAGCTTTTAGGCATGAATTATGTACAGCAACTAATAAAGGTATTAAAACATAGACTTGCTTTGAAATGTAATTTGGGACTGCAAACAAGTTCTCTGAGTTTATTTTTTGAAGCCTGTTGAATTCAATGGGATTTTCCTCAGTAGGCCCAGAGTAATTTCATTATTCTTTTATGTTCTGTGGGAATAAAAAGTGGATACTTTGAAATACTCTTTTTCAAAGAGCCAAAAACTGCTGAGTGTAACAATCACTGTTACAAAGGCTGGTCTTGAAAGGAGAAGGGAAAAATGTTAAATTAAAAATAAATAAATCAATGTTTTTTTTTCTGAACATCAGTAGAGGAATAAAGTTAAATTCAGTTTTGCAGCTTTCCAAGTTAAAGATCAGTGGTAGAAGCAGACATGTCAATGGTCAAATATCTCCTGTCTAACCCCATTTTACTTTGGCTCTCCTCACAGGGTAAAGGTGATTATGTGCTCTCCAAATGGGAGGTGGACCCCACCAGTGCCCTGGTGTCTGCTCAAAGTTTTGCTGATGCAAGTCTGATCCAAGGTAGAGAAGGTTTTATCTTTTTACAGACAAGTGTAGATTTCATATTTAATTGCAGAATGCACTGATTTTCAGTTATTTCCTTGTTTTTAATAAATTCACATGTACCAAACGGAGCAGTTTTGTAAAGGTACAGCCAAAATGTGGCTTCAAAACTGCAGTTAAACTTAGTTACATAAATCACAATTCACTTTAAGCTGAACTTTGCACAGTCCTAGGAAGGACTGGTTTAACCCATGAGGTTAAACCATGAGGTTTACAATACTTGGTTGTGTATTTGAATATGTTTTTGTTTCTGATACATATCTCAAGAAAAATAATGAATTTATGTGAGTATTAATATTTTGTAGGTGCTGCAAAACTTCAAGTCCTTGACAATCAGCTGTTTGTTTTGGATACAGAGGTATGGGTAATGATCTGCTTTAATCTTCACTTTACAATGTTCTTGAACCAGCTTATAAACATATTTTTTAAGATTTAAAATGAATTTTCTGTAAAATAAAGGTGCTTATATTTACTTATATCAAGAGCATCTTGATCTTCCTGTGTTTGTTTGGTTTTTTTTTTACATTTTACTCCTATTCATTATTTAAGCCAAGAAATGTAATATTTGTTCAAAAACCCTCTTCTATGAGGAAAATATGAACTCATGTCTGATTTTTTTTAATCTAGAATATCTTAAGCACGTGGGATATTTATTCTCTCACTCTGATTTGGGATTGGCCTTTAATACATATTGAAGAATTTCTTCTCACTACTGAGTCAGATTCCTCTCAAGTCACGTGGTAAGTGAAGTGTTACAGCACCAACCCTGAGAAGTGAAAAGTTGTCTGGTGCAGTGATTCCTAAGAAATACCTCATTATTTTGGCCCAGATGCTGGTGCAAAACATCATGTCCTTGTTAGAAATTCCTTTCCTTAAAAATTAAGATTAAACAGAATGTGTGAGAAAGTGTAACTACTGTTCTGAAGTGTGAGAAAGTGCTAAAAACTATTCAGCTATATATTAAAATAGAAAGGGAATTTTACATGTATTTGTTGTTATGGAATGCAAAATTTTCTAAAACACAGAAAAAAAAATATTTCACAGTTTTAACCTAAGATTCATACAGCAAATTTTGCTTTCTTTTATCTCTTTCTCATTCATTAGGGAAGGGCTTGCCAATGTGAAACTGATTGTCATGACAATTCCAGATGACAAACAGGTATAGTCTCCTAATCTGTGTTCTGCTCCTTAATTGTTATGCAATTGCTCTTAGGAAGGAAAGGGGAGAGGAATGGAAGTGGCAAAATATTAGGGACACAGAGGATTCTGAGGAGCTTAAATCCAAACTGAAATGTGGCCATTTACATCTAAATGTAAATGTACATTTACATTTAGGGACTAGCAAGTGAGGGTTGTTGGGATTCTTGTGGGGGTGCCCAGGCCAAGCTGCCCCTGGTTGGGGTTTTTGTGGATGGTTTGGGGTTTATTTGTTTGGTTTATTAAGGTAGGCAGACAAGGAAGAGCAGCAAAATTTATTATTATCGTACAAGCCTTCCCAGATTTCTTTAGAACAATGTCTCTGCTGCCTTCAGCATCTACCCCCAGCCACAGTCAGTGCAGTCAACTGAAATAAAATACCAGGATGAACATTATGCAATTTTAAAAATTAGATTAAACCTGTTGAATTATACATAATTGGCCTAGAGAGAGAGTGGGAGGAAATGTCTGAACCTTCATTAAATTTCTTCAAACTGGAGACCTGCATTCCATAAAAAGTCCTACAAATACTGCCCTCTAATTCCATAAGAATTCATAAATGATTCTGCAAATATCACTCTCTCACCAGTGTAAGAGAAAAAAAGCAATTCTTACTTTTTTGTATGTTTTCTCCCTTTTTTTTTTTTTTTTAAAAAAAGCAATTCTGACTTTTTTGTATGTTTTCTCCCTTTCTTTTTTTTTTAATAGATGAGAAGCCTGATGGTTTTTGCATTGCCCACTATGCAACAGCTCTATTCTCTGGAAGTGTCTCCTGTTTCTTCCCTTGTTCAAAGTGGGATTTGCACTGTAGGTTTTGATGTTGTTTTTTTTTGTTTGTTTGTTTTTGTTTTTGTTTTTTTGTTCTTTGAAGAAATACAGTTGTTGTAATATGTGTGAATATTAAAGAGGGTAGTTAGTTATTCTTGTTCTTAATTTCTGCTAGAAACTATACAGGAACCATACAAAGAAAAATTAAGTGATGTCTCCAAGGGATAGAGAAAAATATCCTTTTATGAAGCAAACTGTACAATTTAAATTTAGTCTGAGGTCTCTTGCACTATTTAATAGCACTGCCAGTTGTTCCTGCTGCTGTTACTGCTAAAAGCTGAGGGAAGTTTTTTAAGTTGTCTTAGCATAGAAAAATGCTCTGGATTTGTTTGGAATTTATTCATTTCTCCTGATGGTTTCTGTCATTGCACACTACAGGATACAATATACTTCTTGGAAGGAATTCATGAGAAGCATCAAATGTAAGACAATATTTTGTTTGTAACTAGCTCATTATTATATAAAAATGGCAGGTTATTTCCACATAGACTTGATAAATTCACATAATTCCCTCTCATCCTCAGGCCCTCTGAAGACCCAGTTTCTATAGTTGTGATGAGAAGTTTAACTGAAGCCTTGCCAGAAAACAGGTACTGATTTCTGTGAAAAACCATTGTATTATATACATTTTTTTAATATCTGGACTTACATTGAAGTGGTTTATTTTATTTCCTCCCCAGACTGAGTCGTCTACTGCACAAACACAAATTCACTGAAGCAGAGAATTTTGCTATTCAGTTTGGACTGGATGTTGAGGTGAGTTGTTCATTCATGAGAAACACATTAGAGGTTAATTAGCATAACTGAAATTATGAGATGGTTCTTGCTCTATACTCCAATAGAAAGTATTAAAAATATTACAGGTATTACCAAGGCAGTAGAATGTTACCTTATAAAACAACTCACCATACCTGTATTATTGTTTTAAAACAGCTTGTATACAAAGTAAAAGCAAACACTATTTTAGAGAAACTGGCTTCAGCTTCTCTTGGGAGTTATGGCCAGGAAGCCTTGCTGGATCTTGGCAATGAAGCCAAAGAAAATTTGCAAAAAATTCAGGTTTGTTTGTATTTCTACCCTCTCTCCCTACTAAAACAATCCAACTTATAAAGGATCTTGGAATTAATTTCAGTTGTTTCCTTATGCAAACAGGACAGCCAGTTTGTTGTGAATTACTGCATCAGTGCTCCCTGGCCACTGTATGAAACCACTCGAGAAATGCTGAATTATGCTAAAGTCAGAGTAAGGGGTTTATTTGTTTCTATTTCTTCTGCTCTTCAACTTCTATTCCACACTTCTGTGCGACTTGAGAGGGACACAAAGCAGTGACAGTCATTCCAAAAGGCAAAAGTAAAGGCATTACAGATCCTATGTAACCAAACAAATCTTATGTAGCCAGACATGAAGAAGCAGCAAGGCTTGTTCCAATCTCATTCTTGGTATTGCTCAAGGGCAAGAAAGAGCTCACAGTTTTATTTTTGTATCACAAAGCAGGGTTTAGTTTTGAGTAGCAGTTTTTTTAAGTACCTTTTAAATATTAATTTTCAAAGTAAAGCTCAAAGTAGGTCACCTTTTTTGTTTTCTTTATTTTAGTCTTATCAAACAGAACCAGAGAGATACACATGATCTGTCTGATCCTCCATCCATGCAGAAATCCAACCAGATTAGACTGGATCAGGTTAGATCCAATCTAACTTTGTAAAATCTCAATTTACAGGAGTCCTGACTTCTTGCTCATGTCTTTACTGCACTCACAGTTCTGTCTGGCATGTTCTGAGTTGTCAACCAAACCCTTTCATGTCCTTTTTTTCAGATCTTGAAGAAAGATAATAGAACTGATGCTCCACCATCTGATGGGGCTCCAGTATCCATAGCTGAGGTAAGGACAAATTTTTTGGATCTACAGTATAATATAAACAGTTGCAATGTAGAGTTTTACAGACTGTAAATTCACTTTATAACTGTAAACTACTGAATTTTTAAAAATCTAAACAAAATTAAATTTTATATTATGAAAGAGAACCACACTAATGACAGATTCAGAAATAAGCCATTCCTTCAATCATAGAAAAATTCAGTTTAAGGTGCTCCATAAACTGAAGGCAGAACCTTTCAAAAAGTGCTTTTTGGAGTTTCATTTTGGTTTTTGTTTAGTCCTGTTGTAAACTGGCATCATCTGCCTTCAAGGAGAATCAGTGCTCCAATCATGTCATGTAACAATATGTTCAGCCAGATATTAACCTTAAATCTCATCTGCATTCAGGTGTTGAGAGCTCAGGCAAGGCTTACAACATTCTATGAAGCTTTTGGACTACAGAAATTCAGGTTGGTTTGTGTTTAAGATTTAAAATAAATTTAACTGTGATTGTTAAGCCTGTACCACTGAAATTATTTTTGGTTTTTTATATGAATTCATTAAACTTCAAGCTCTTAAGTTTCCCATCCTGTGCTGTGGAGAAGGGAGAATGCAGAGGTTGAGTCATCCTATATATTGAAAACATAAATTATCTGTTGCACATCCACCTAAATAGTTGGGGTTTTTTGTTCAATGTGTGTAGGAGGGATTGTGATTTTATACAAACACAAAGTACCACTCCTGTTGTTTCTTCCAGCATTAGGCACTAGGAAGCAAGGTTTTGAAGTTCTCTCCCCAATTGCTTTGTTAATGACATTTAACAAAGCTTCTCTTCCCCCTCTCACTTTCAGTGGCATTGCTTGGACAGAATTCCTGAATAATGAGGACATCTTCAAGATTATTGTTTTTCAGCTGGAAGAAGGAAATTTGGCTTGTGCACAGTACCTCTGGCTTAGGCATCAGGTGAGGTGGCACAGAGAGCTCTGGGATTTATGGAGGGGGTTAAATCTCTTCAGTTTTCCAGCCTAATTTCACTGGGGCTGTTACAAAACAGCTCCTCAGAGAAGCAAATGTCCATGGCAGCATCTCATCAATTACCACAATGATTACCTGTTCACCTGGATGCTTAGGAGGCTGAACTTCTTATTGATTTAAGAATAAACTGGTATTTCTGTTGTCAGAATTCATATTTCTAAGTCATGGCAGTTTGATTTATTCTGCAGTGCTTGTAATCTTCCACTCACTTTCTTGCAAGCACAGCTCTCAGAATTAAGTGGATGTTTGCTGCCTACCTTAAAATCCTTTAAAAATAATCACACAGACTCCTTACTCTGAATGACACATTTAAGATTGTGTGTGTGCTTTTATTTTATTTTTTAGTGCAGGACTTTCAGTTCCATGTCTGTTGTTTTCTCCATAAGACAGAATGAGTGTGAAAGTAATAGAACAGTGTGATTTGTAAAGACATTCCTTCAATTAGGTCTTTTTTTAAGAAGACCAAACTCTAGTTTTACTGAACAGAGTTATTTTTTTAATTTCTGTCTATGACTACAGAGATTTTCTCTTTGTATTTGTGAAATTTACTGGCTCTTCCTATTAGTGAAACAGCTTTCCAGAGTACCAGATGAACATCTACTGTATGGATTTATAATTGTTCTGGTTTAAAATTTTAGGCTGATTTTGAAAGCAGCTTTGATGAGAAAATGCTGAAGGATTTGCTCAATGCCATCCATTTCGCTGCTCCTTTGAAGGAACTTTGTGTGTGGCTTAAAAATTTTGTGATCCCCTTCTCAAGAAGGGTTGTGCCAGATGGACAGGTGAGACTGACTTAAGAACTGTAAATTGTCATTTTCTCAGACTAAGATGATTTTACTGTCAGACCTCCAGACTTCTGAATGTCAGGAATTTGTTCCTCTGTCTTTGAAATGGATTCTTTTCCCTAGTGTTTATGTTTGAAATTATTTCTTTTGAAAGAAGTTTCTAATGGCAAATTTTGCTTTGATAATTAGCATAACTCTACTTACAACTGTATTTTTTTCCTAGAAAATATTAGCAAAATGGCTGGAACAAGCTGCTCGAAACCTTGAATTAACTGACAAGGTAAATCCCACTGCAGAAACCTGGCATCTTGTATTTCTGGATGTATCATATGGTTTGCTAATCTCAATTATTTTGGACAGGCAAACTGGCCTGAAAATGGACTCCAAGTGGCAGAGATTTTTTTTACAAGTAAAAATCAAGGTGATCTGGGAGTGACAGCTTTTGGCAAATGGACTCCTCTGGTAAGAAATGTAACAAATACAAGAATTAGCTGCTAAGATATTTCAAACAGATGCTGTGTGCTCAAGCTGGAGTGGATGATAATTTGGTCACTGGTGGGTTGGTGAAGGTGGACTTAATTCCATGAAAATAAATAATTCCAATTTTCTTGTGTTTAAAGATTTTTTTTAAAAAGTAGATGACAGCCTCTTAATGGTCTTGTCTCCTAACATTTAACTTCTCAACACTGTTTCAGAGGTGTGGTGACTGTGAAGAGATACAGAGGCTAAAGAAGCTGGTAAATGATTTACAAGAATTGAGAAATCTGTACAGAAAATACAACTGCAGGCTGGCATTCTGTGATTTTGAAAAGGTAACACTGCAGACACTGGAAAAAGTGCTTTTCAGTTTGTTCTGAAAAGGAGAAGAATCTTATAGCATGTAACTGAAAGTCAGACAAAAGAGGAATCCTGATGGATGTTGATTAAATTTCCATTCATAAGTTGCTAAGACTATTTGAGAAGTTGTGTTACAAATTTTCTTTCAGCTGAGGTTGTAAATGTAACCTAAGGCAGTGTGAGAAACTGTGGCTCAAACTCTGTGGTTTGCAGGTTATTACAGATCATCTACTGAAGAACAAGAATTGGCTACAGAGAAATTGAAAGTACAACTGACCAAGAAAAGCTTTGTAAATGCAAGGGTTTATTTGAGCTAAAGAGGGATTCTTTAAAGATTCTAGAGGGAAATCTTTCAGTTGATTTCAGTGGCCTCTGGATGTTGGATTATGTATCAGAGATGAAAATGGCCCTACACTGAAAGGTGTGATGTTCTAACATGGCCTTTTCCCACTTGCTGCCCAGGAAAATGCAACCACTATTGTGTTTCGCATGCTTGATAAAATTTTGGCACCAGAGCTTGTCCCATCAATTTTGGAGAAGTTTATAAAAGCCTACCTGTTTGAACACAACTTACAAAAAGATGAGCTTCTTCTACAGTATGTCAAGGTATCCATATTTTCTTCCTTTTGAAGAAAGCTATTTCAACATCAGGAAGCAGAAACCAAGTCTGATGAACCTTTGAATTTACAACTGAATTTTAGGCCCAGCTTTTAGATTAATCCTACTCCTGTCAATGAACTTAATGATAGTTACTATTTCAGTTATGAAACAATCCCTTAATGCCCAGAAAACTTTACACTTTTTGTTCAAAGATACTCCTATCTTTTCTGATTTCAAGTGTTCTGATCACCTTTATCAAAACACACAGGATTTGCTGGAGCGCTGTCGGACACGATCGATTTCAGTGTTTGAAACTGCCTGGGAGGCCAAGGCAGTGGCTGTCATTGGCTGCATCTCTGACACTGATGTAAGTATGTTTCATTGAGGAGAGGCATCAAATGACTCCAACACATCAGTTCAGACAAATCATGATTTTTACATACTGCTCTGAGTGCATTTTTAATGAGTGCTATGAGGAGAAAATGGTATGTTATGATGTTATCTTCTTATTCTGTTTTAGTCATCTCCCCTGTGAAATTTTTTGAATTGTAGCTGTGATGTCATCACATGGAAAACTCACCAATTTTAATATGTATGGAACCACAGTGTCATAAATGACTGCAAGCATTTTCTAATCAAACTTGACAATCATATGATGAAAATAAATGCCCTCTATGCAAGTGAAGATTGGGCAAGGAAGTAAAATACTTGCCTAAAGGGATCAGTCACACGTGAACAATACTTCAAGGGACTACTTTGAAACATATTTTAAAAAGTGAGCTGTATGTGTTCCTTTTGCAGCTGAAATTTGATGCAGTCCTGCAGATAATGCACGGGGCTGTGGTGCCATGGAGTGCAGCAGTGGAGCAGCTGGTCAGACAGCACCTGGAAATGAATCATGCCAAGTAAGCAGCACCCACAGGCTACCCCTGGCTGGGGAAATACTGTGTGTCTGATGTGGTGTGATGACTAAATCCCATAGCTGGGGATAGCAGAGGAATTCATGATGGTTGAATTTGTTCCCAGAGTGAAGTTACTGCAGGAAAGTTACACACTGATGGAGATGAAGAAGCTTTTGAGAGCCTATGGGATAAGAGATACCAATCTTTTACAGGACAAGCAGATGATCATGGTAAGTTACCAAGAGTTTAGATTTCTCCAAAGGTCACAATGAACAGCACTTGGTGATTTTTATTTTTTTTTTTATCATTTGAGTTGGGTTTTTTTTAACAGCTCCCCTTCATTAAAAGACCTGAATATTTCTGGAGAAGTTCCTCAATATCCTGAGGAACCAGACAAATTTACAGAGTTCCTGGGCTAATTCGGTCCCCAAGCCCTGTTTTCTCCCAGTTACACTTCAGTCAGCTTTTCTCTAGATAAAAATTTTAAGCTTCCAGGTAACTTGCTTGATACAAACTGAACAGTTCCATTGCTGGTGTGCATACACTGATTCCTTTGTTATCCTTTACATCAACAAACTAAAGTCCATTTCTGTTTTCATCTTACAGAGGCTTGTCAGATACATTCTCAAACAAGATACCCCTACTTGCCTGGAGGATGCCTTGAAAATTGTGGAAGCCTACCTGCTGCCCACTGGGGAAGTCTATTTCCTGAGGATTTTGGACCTGATTGACAAAGGAAGGGTAGGGAAATACTGCATGGCAGTTGATCCTGGAATTTACAGACACTGAGGCCTCTTGACAAAACAGGGACAAGTTTGCTGAAATCTTACATGCAGTTTGCATATGTATTTTTAATTAAAATTATTAATTTGATACCTAGCTGTCTATGTTTAGCATTGAAAATGAGTTCTTTGTCAGAGCTTTATCTTTCTTTTGTGGCAGAATAGGGTGAAAGTTGTGAGCTGCAATACACCAGAAGAGTTTGGAATTGAAGTCTCTACACATTTTCATGCATTATTATGGCAATTGTGCAGCCATTGCATCAGAAGAAGAATGTAGACATAACTCAGCTTTTCCAAAAGCAAATGCCCTTTCCTTCTTATTATTTCTGCTCTAATTTTGGTTTTTTTCTTTTTCTCCCTTCAGGGAGAGGAATCTCTGCCTTTGTTAAAATCTCTGCCTCTTGCTAAGGCTGAAGAAGTTGTAGAGAGATTGACTCTGTGGGGAAGACTGGTGTTACAGAACAAAGCAGATGATCCTGAAGAGGTACCATGGCTTTTCACACCACAAAGTGTGCACACAAATTATTCTGAAAAGGGAGAGGTGGGGATATTTCCTGTGAGAGCTAACAGACTGTGGAGTAAACATATATTACACCTATAAAATATTTACTGTTCTATAAAGATTAATATGTAAAATAACTTTCTGTTGCTTTGCTTTTCAACTGGTTGTGCCTTAGACTTTGTAATTGTTGCTTAAGAAGTTTGTGGAACATTGCATTGTACTTTAAGAGCTGAAGCCCAAGTCTATTCTGGCAACATTTTAACAAAAAAATAAAAACCTCTTCCTTTCCTGCAGAAAAAACCACAAATGTTTATGACTAAGACACTGGTGGAAGTCCTCAAATTCTGGTCCAGCATTCAAAAAGGTAAAGGTACAGCTTCAACATCTCACATCTTCTTTGTGTAAAGGGAATCAAAATGAAATTGTTTTTCTCCTCCAACAGACAATCCTGTGAAGAAATATGAATGTGAAGAAAACCTAAAGTTGTTTGAAACACTTGCTAGCCTGCAGGTGGGTATTTTTATTGTTTTAAATCCCTTTTGATTTACTGTGGTCAAGCCAATTGTTTTTATCACATGGATCATATTAAAAATTAATTGTATTTACAATGTGCATGCAAAGGTTGTTTTTATTATTGACTTCCAATTGATTCTAAGGCTAATCTAGCAATTTTGTCTAGTCTGGGAAAGTTCCCAATTAGAACTCAGTTGTCTATTTAAACCAAAAATTAGATACTGTCACTGAAGCCTTAATTGCTAACACTTCAAAGAGTTCATGATAGACTGCTTAAAGGATTTATGAAGATCTCAGGACAGTAGGCAAAAAAAGCAATGTAAAGGAAGCTATATCTATACAAATATATGATTATTTTTTGTTGTTGCAGGAGTATTTTGATATCTTTCTCTCAGATGAAGAATACAGGAACCCTTCACTGATATCTGAACTTCTTGAGGGTCACATAAGGTCTTATGAACGTGTCAGATCTGCATCCAAGTCTAGAAATGTGCAAGCAGTGAATTGTAATTCAGAAGGAAGCAAGCCCAAAACCCCTCCCACTGAATCCAGGCTGTACAGACTGGCTTTGCTCCTGCAAGTCTCAGAGCATGAACTGGGAGAAAAACTGGCCTTGAGAGCCCTGGATGGTGGAAAAGTGGAAGTGGCTGTCAATATTTGCAGGTAAAACTGCAAAGCTTTTCAAGATCATCACTTTTAATGGGCTTCTCTGAACTATTTCTACCACTTTTTTGAATTATATAGAGCAAAGGAAATGATTTTCTGTTTTAGTTAAATAATTAGAACAGAATTAAGTAAAAACCCTAAGAATTACTGACTTTTTATTCTTAACATCCTTTTGTTTCTTAATAGGGAGTTCTATGAAAATAGCTGGAATGAAAAGACAGGGAAGCTGCTGTTTGTAGTGTGTCAAACACTTTGCCACATGCTGGGAGCTGATGATCCAATGATCACTCCTGATGGGATGGATCTTCCAGCAGTGATCCATGAGCTGGCTGGCCAAGCAGCCACACTGTGCAGTCCAGGTAATTCCTGTTCCCATTTATTTGGGCTCATGTTGGGAGCCCAGCTTTCCAACCAGAGTTCAATAAAGCTGAAAACCAAGTGAATTTCTGGATCTGCATCTGTGAAAGTAGGTACTGCAATATTGTTTCCTTTTAAGTGGACAGATGAACTTCCATTTCTGCTAATGATCTCAATATTTTCACAGATTTAGTGTTGGATTGTCTGGAACTGTGCAAATACACTTCACTTGCCAAGGAAATTCATGGACAATGCCAAATGGACAGCTATGAATTTACAGCAGAGGTATTTTCTGTGCTGTTCACTGCATGTATTCTTTTCCCTCTCATTTCTCCAGCACTCTTTAATCAAAAAGCCAACAAGAACAAAAAAAATCTCAAATAAACATTTCCTAGAATTTGTATGTTCTTCAGCTTAAAGAATGAACTGATTTGAGTCCTAAAAGTAATGCAGCTGTGGGACAAGCACAAGTAGCATTCTCCACTTACATTTCAGTACAATAAATCCTGCTGAAAATAGTGATTTTATCAAGCAGCTTCTGCCAGGACAGGCAGAGAGCTGGCATAAAAGGGAGGGTTTGGTTTTTAAATGAATGTACTATGTGAAAGCTCTCCCAAGAGTTCTGTAAAACTTTAAGATGATCAAGTCCTTGAATTGCAGCTTTGTTTTCTGTTTAGGTCAGGCAGTGCTTTAGGCTACTTGAAATGAATGGGCTCTCACAGCTGGAGTGGAGTAGAGCAGAGTGGCTGGGATTGTTTATCCACAAAATACTATTTTTCTAGAAAATGGTCCATTTGCAAAATGTTTGCTTATAATGTTTGGCCAAGAATGTTTATGAAAGCCTCCATTAAATTGAATATGAGTACATTTTGGCTGTACAACTAAACAACTCCAACATGAAAGATGAATATGGCCACTCTAGGTAGGAAATGGATTTGTTGCCACTGGCTGTTGAACAGAATTTCTGCTTTCAAACAGAACATCATGTTCTATTCCTGTATTCCAAACCAGAAACCTGTTAGTGGACTCATTAACTCTGCCTTTTATTGTGTGTGCTTTTAACAATGTTTTTACTTAGACAACATCTTCTGGAGGAGACAAAGATCCTTACAAAGAGTGGACTTATGATGACTTCTTTAAAGAAGATGGGATAGTCCTTGAACCTCAGACATCTCTTCCAGTGGCATATGAACTCACTTCTGCTGTTCTGCCTATTTGTAGTAAGCTTGTTTTCCTCAACATTGACACAATATAAAATCTGTGTTTCTTACTGATTTTTATCTAGAAATACAAATAATTCTCATGTGTGGAAATTATGACCTCAGAAATGTCAGTTAGACAAACTCATAGTAGGAACACCCATCAGGGGATGTAGAATGGAAAGGTGACTTTGGGTTTAGTTCTTATTTCCACAGATGGTCTCATCCAAGGGATTTACATACAAAGTAGTTACTGAAAACTGTTGGATTCCTTTGTGAGTCTGAAAGATATTCCCTCCTAGAAAATAAATTCTGAGTAGGCACAGTTAAAAATAGCAGCAAATGGCTCTTGGGGATCACATGTCTATTTTGTGTCCTGTCCTGTGGTATTTTTAGGGTTCTCCCAGACTTGCTGGTGTTGCTGAGTTCCTGGCATGCTGCTGATGAGCATTTTCTGTCTTTCAGAGGACAAGCTGTACCCCCTGGAGTCTCAAAGCCTGGCCCACAGAACGTTCATGGAAGGTATCACACCCTGCTAGGATGGGAAAGGACCTTAAAAATTCCAATCACCCAATTCCAGGGGCACGAGGGCAGATCCACCACAATGAAAGTCTGAACAAACCACTGGAAAACATGAGGTTTAAATTCACCCTACACAAGCATGACTGACTCATAGGGGGTTTTCACATGTGCCTAAATGTTCCATTTAAAGCCATATTTTAGGGGGTGGTTTGGTTCAGCAAGGAGTCACCAGTTTGGGTGCTAATTCCCACCATTCCACCATGGGATTTTTGAGCATCTCAAAACCTGTGCTTCAGGGCAGTTTTACCACTGTGAGTGAAGGTGATGAAGGCCTGTCCAAGAAGACAACTTCTGGTCAAAAACTTGTGGCTTTTGGACTAAAATGGGAATCTATTAATTTAAAAACCCTGAGAATTTTAGGTTTTAAAGGTAACTAAGGCAAATCCTGAGTCATAACTCTAATGAAGAAAAAAAGAAACTGCTCTGATATTAACTCCAAGAACAATATGCTTCATAATTACTTTGTTTTTGCAATATTTCACAGGACACAACTTCCTGCTGCCTGTTGGATCTCCCTTCTTTGCAGCAGTGCAGAACCTGCAGGAGTGCAGCCAGTTCCAGCTGGCCCTGCAGCTCACGGTCTGTGCCTTCGGCTCCTGCCTGCAGCACGGCATTTCAAACACCATGGAACTGTCCCCGAGTCCAAAGGTGACTTTTGGCAAGTTCAGGGCACTTCTCTAAGGATTTAGAGAGTTAAATCTCTAAGGTTCTCACCGTGGCCTTTTGTTAGCACTGTTGAGTCAGTTTGTGAAAGGAGCTGGTGGTTTCTTCCCTGTTTTTCATGGTCCTCTCCCTTTGCAAAGTGTGTTCAGAACTGAGCTTTTATTTCTGGCCTTCCTGCAGAGGCTAGAATGAGTGTTAATAATGGTTTACTCTGTTTTTTTCATGTTGTTTTAGTATGGCAAAAGTCATAAGTAGAATATTCAAGAAACATTCCTCAGTTTAAAAGCACCTGGAAACAGAAATCCTTTTTCTATCTAGAAGAAATCTTTGTAAGACCTTAAATGAATCTGAAAATACAACCACTATAGCACCTCCTACTATGCTGTAAATGACAAGAAGCTGAAGAATTAGAATTTATTTTTAATTAGGTGCTGTTTTCTTCATAACAGCCACATGACAATGACCTGCTACTCACTGAAACCAGAAGCTTCCTCATAGCTATGAAAGAGAAGAGCAGTTCAGTAATCAAGACCTCTGTCCTGAGCTTATTACACAAGGTAAGAATCCCCTGGAAAATACTTTCTACAATGTTAGGAAAATATTTTAGAGAAAGTAAACTTTAAAGCAGCTTTGAGCTGCCAGCTCAGGAGGTGAGGCAGTCCTGACACCTTCTCTGAGGTTTGTTTTCATTTTACACAGTTGTGTGATCATTTATGAATTGTTTGAAGTTCCTCTAAGGATTCAGATCTCAGGATTCCAAATTTTCAGATTATTTCTTAGACTTATATTCACTTCCTTTCTCCTTCCTTCTAGGCAGTAGCTCTGGTGGGAGCAGAGCTTGCTGACCAATATGGTGAAGCAGAAGAAAAGAGAAAATTCCAGGAGCTGGTTATTGATGCAGAATGGGGCATCCAGCTTGGTAAATTTGGTGTAAGTTTTTATTTATTTACTTATTTTAGGGGTTTATTAACTAATCAGTTAACAATATCAATATAATCTGGGATGTGTGAGAGTTTTTAGGCAGATTTCCCATTCAAATATAAGCAAAGTTGGGATTTTGTTTTTGATTTTTCATTCTGCTTATCTGCATAAACATCAAAAATGGAAATACAGTAATTGAGGGGGCTGCAAAAGAAGATTTAGGTTCTTAAGTATTATTTGACTTTGGATAATCAGCAAATCCATTGCTTTCTCCTGCTCTGAAAGTGTCTGGATTGAAACTAAAAGAAGTCAAAGCTTCACTGTATGAGGAATTAGTTTTGATATTGTCTAAAAGACTCTCTTGAGCAGATGAATGTGTTTTTATCTGCAGATTTCTTTTGAGAATGTGTTTAGACAGCCACCAGTAAGGAAGAAAGAACTCATAAGAGTGCTGGTACAAAACCCAGAAGTGGACACAGCTCTCATCTTAAATTACTGCAGGTACTGATTCCATGAAATCTATTTAGCTTTAAATAAATCCTAATTAATAGAAAATGCAAACTCTTCTCCTTTTTAAAAAAATGCAATTTGGAATACATCCTGCCTTGGATTAATTTATTTATAAGGAAAGAAGCTGCTTGATGACACCAAAGCTCCCAGAGTGAATCACATTCTGTTCTTTCCCAGCACTTTCATGCTGGACAGTGATGCTGCACTGCAGCTCTGCATTGAAACCCTTCTGCTCCAGAATTCAAACACAAATGATGGTGAAGATGACTCTGCAGAAAACAGTGAGAGGCAACCTCATTCCACATTACTGGCTAGAGCACTAAAAATAATCCCTCTGCTGAACAGCACCAAAGACCTGGTCATGAGCCTCAGTGGAATTTGTACAAGGTAAAAAAAAAAATAAAAATAAAATAAAAAACCAACACAGCCACATCCCTGAAATCTACGTCTGATAATTGCTCCATGTCACTTGAATGACAGAGGAATAATTCCACAGAAACTGAAAAGGTTTTGGTGTTTTTTCCAAATTTTCTTAAAGCTTGTAAATGTTAAGATTCATTTTTTTGCTTCTCTACAAAAGAAATGACAGCCACATATCTAATTTTCTTAAAAGAGAGACAGGAGTCTTTCATCCCCACTTCCCTTAAAAACTGACCAGCCAGAAAATCAAACAAAAAAGTCATTTAGAAATATACTGGAAGAGTTCTACATTAAAAGTAGGTGAGGGCTAAAAATGGTGTGTTGGGGCTGTTTTTGTTTGGTTGGGGTTTGATTTTTTTATTTTGGAGGGTTGGGGTTTTTGTGGGATGAGTTTTTGGGAGTTTGTAGGTTTGTTTTATTTTGTTTTCAGCACTTATTGTTTGGTCTTTCTGCAAAACCCTGATGCCTTTTTTTAGGATTAAAGAAAGTCTTTTAGAGAATTATGTCATGATGCTTATATCAACATAACATTGAAGAAACAGTAATTGATATTAAAATTGGAAAAAAATCAACATGTATGTTTTTATAAGACAAATCATGTAAGATCTTATAAAACAGATGATTATTTTGAACAGCTGGATCCTTATGACTATGAAACCCTGGAAATTGTCCTGAGAGTGATCCAAAGTGCTGATGAGAAGAACACCAGCATCCAGCTGAGCCAGGTGTGTCCAGATGTGTGACCTTGCCAATGGCACCTCAATTCTGCTTTGTCTGTTTACTGATGGAGCTATTCAGCACTGTTGAAAGTAAATTAATTATTCCATGTACACATCTTTCCTTCAGAAAATAGCCTTTAAAAAGTGATTTCTGGTAATTTCTCAGTGATTTATATTTTCTTATTTCTTTCCTTTTTTTTTTTTTTTTTTTCCTAGGCTTTCAGCCTCCTCAAACATCTGAAATCTTACACCAGGATTTCTCCACCAGTGGACCTAGAACACCAGTATATCTTGGATCAGATGATTCCCCTGTCTCCAGCTGCTCACACCAGGCTGCCCTTTCACCTGCTGTTCTTCAGGACTGCCCAGTGTTTCTGGAACATTATATGTGAGTTCAGGATCTCAGATTCCCTTTCTCTGCTATCTCTGACCTTCAAAGTGCCCCAGTTTATGTTGTATATGAGCTCCAATTCTTCATTAATGCAGTTTTCATCCCAACTGCTTTTGAAAGCACTTCTTGTGCTCCCAAATTGCTGCCCAGAGGAGCTAAGATGATAAATACAGTGCAGGGTTTGTCCTCAAATTCTTTCCTAGGACCTCCAGAATTTATCCACATATTCCCCTTCCCAGCCCAGTGGGGATAATTAGGATCAGATCCTCTCTCTCCCAATGGAAGTCCCCATCCACCAATAAACTGAAAGTGCTCCATTTCACAGAGGAAGCTGCCAGTGGATTGTGAGACTCACAGGCAACTTTTCCTTTTCAGCTGCAGAGCTCAGTGAGGAAACCTTCCCAACCCTTCTGTTGATTTCCAAACTAATGAAGGTACAGTAACAGCTTGAAGGAATTGATTTCAATATCATTCCCTGCACCCCAAAAAAAGAAGTTTCCATTTTTCTTTTGCATGGTGTTGGCCTCACTGTAGAAGCTCTGACAACTCTTCATCTACTTTACCACTTTTCCAGGTTTCCCTGGATACCTTCCACATGTCTGCAGTTCGACATGTCTTTGAAAAAAAACTGAAACCAAAAATATTCGAAATGAGAAGCAGTGGCTGTACCTCCATTATTAACAAGGAAACCATCAAAACTGTGCAGGCACTTCACTCCTATCTGCTGGCCATAGTCAATCCAGAGTGGGCTGTGGCCATGGCTCACAAGATTGCCCAGGAATTCCCCACAGGTGAGTTGCAGATGGGATGGGGAAGGAATGGGAGGCTTGGGACAAGCAGAGCGAGGCTGGGAGCAAACATTTGTTCACTGATCCTGAATAAACCCAGCAAAGCTGGAGCATGAACATGAATTTGTGTCCTGAATCCAGTTTGGAACAAGAGGTTGGAAAAACACCCATTTGCTATCACAGCATCACCATCAAATCCTTTTTCCCCCTCTTTTTGTAGAATCATAGAAAGGCTTTAAGGTCCTTCCAGCCCAAACCTGGACACCTTGCACTAGACCAGGTTGCTCCAAGCCCCATCCAGACTGGCCCTGTTGTCCTGCCAGAAGTTTCTCCATGTTCACACCATCTTCAGACAAGTTTTCCACCAAGAGTCAATATTTCAGCCCAACTTAATCACTTTCTTTGCTATTTGAATCCAAATAAATAATATATTTTTGGTCTTTAGACACAAAAGTTTTCCTAATATTTTAAATAGCTTCTAATTTTTTTTTAATTCTTCAAAATGAAACGGATATAGTATATAGTGTAAGAAGGATTAATGAAAACTTAATTTATTTACTTCTTTCCATTCCTTTCTTTTTAATCTTTAAAAAGGTCCTGACCATGTCCAGGCACTGAAATTCTGTCTCTACCTGGCTGAGAAGTGGCTGAAGAGTACTACAGCTAAGGTAAGGGAAACTGCTTGCCAGATTGTTGTGAAGTCATTACAAAAATCACAAAATACTTATGTTTGTATTTTAATTTTTGGTGTTTTGGGCAGTGGTGTGTAAATTGTACCATAAGCAACCCTGATATGGGAAATACTTTAGGGGAAGTGACCCCCAGAAGAATCTCCTCTGTCCTGGAACATTCTCCTGCAAAAATCAGGCTTAGTGTTCTTGGAGCTTGGACAAAAAATGAGCAGTTTTAGGGAAGAATAATTTGTTCCTTCTCCTGTTGTGTGCATTTTTCTTGCTGCAGGAGAACAAGGTGGAATCTGATCCAGCTTTGATCAATAGCATTACTAATTTTTGCTTACAGCTCCAAGACTCTTTAGCTGTTTGCAGGGTTAGATATAGAGAGAATCTGCTTTGACTTGATTCTCAGGCTTGTTTTCACATGGTTGCCCTTCACAGGGAAAGGTGAATAAGAACCTCAGCTTTGATTTTAAATCTCAAACTTCCTATGGAGTTGTTGAGGCACAAAGAACCCTAAATCATTCTCTGTACTGAGTCACAAGATCAGAGAGAATTATGCCAAAATTAAACTGAAATTTCAACAGCCACAAGTTTTATTATTAATCTTTTTTTCTTCTACATTTTACCTCAAAAATCTCTGAATTTTACCTACTTGGACATATTTTATTTGGCTCTTTCAAAACATTTGCAATTTTTTTCAAAATATCTTTCCTATCTAGAGCAATGTAGTTAATCCTCTCTGTCTGCAGAAAAAAATACATCTGGGTACAGGTGTGGGGTCACCCCTGAAGAGCAGATCCTGCTGTCCAGTCTGTAAAGAGATGCTTTTTCTTGTGCTTTTGAGTAAAAGAGGCTTTTTTATGTAAAACTCTGATGTTTTGCTAAAGGGTGAGCCACATGAGAAAGCAGAAGTCCTCCAGAGGAACTTACACTTGCAGTATAAGAGAGCAGCAACAGAAAATGTCCTGATAACAAAAAACTTGAACACTGGGGAGCATCTAAAATCCATTGGGAAACCAGCAAATCTGATTGTTTTACTGTATGAACACCACAGCATAGACCAGAGATTCCAAAATCCAGCTGGCAGAGATTATCCAGGTGAGTCTGAGCCAAGAGAAACTCTTAAAAACCCCAACTCTGGTTTGGAAATAACATTGCACCTCTTCCTGTAGATATCCACGTGGCAGCAAAGGAGATTGCTGAGATTAACAACTTGGATATGAACAAAATCTGTGACAAGCTGCTGGCCAAATGGCTGTGTCCAAGCACACCACCCCCTGGGGTAAGAAACTTTGGGATTTGAAGGAAAATTACCTATTTGTATAAAATATGGGCTTTTTTTCCTCCACTTGTTCAAAAAACTGAGGCTATTCTGTACAAACTGCCTGTAGTACTCAAGAATGTATTTAAGATTTCAGTACTTCCCTAAAATAGCACAGCAGGGTCTGTGGTGAGAAGGATTTGAAATGTTTTTCCTTTTCTCTGTGTGGATTCAAGCCTTCCCTTTAGTGCAGCCAGCCTGAAGGAGTAAAGCAGTTGTAAATACATCAGCCTCATCAAACACTGCTTTTAGCAGGGATATGACCCAGTTATTTATCCAAAGAATGTGGAAAACTCATCTAAATTTTCATTTCTTTTTAAAGAAAACCCAAGAAATCTTTGGAGATGTACAGGAGGATGAAGAGCTCCGAAGGTGTGTGTGTTCTCTTACCTGTAATATGGTGAATTATTTTTAACTAGCCAGTTAAAAATGGCTTTTTCAAGAAACCTAACAGTGGGTGTGTGATTCAGAGCTCATTGTTCTTATTTTTACTTTCTGCTGACATCACTTTTGAATCATCCAATATTTATTTATACCACAAAACCCCACTGACAATAACTTACAGATGTAAGTTTTTAAGAGTAACTTTTTGGAGGTTTTCCCCTCCTTTTTCATATCCTTGCTCTCTTTTTGACAGTGAAATATTCACATTTAAGTGACAGTTGATGTGTTGTATTTCAGTAGCTGTACCTGAATTAAAAACAAACCCATTTTTGCAGGGTTATTTACCTGCTTCAGTCTCGCCCTATGGATTACAGTTCAAGAATGCTTTTTGCAATTACAACATCTGCCACATCTGTGAGTTGCTAAATTCTTGTTTTAGCTTTTTGTCTCATTAAAATCAAATGTTTTACTGCAAGAGCTTCAACTTTTGGTCTTTGCACCTGTGTTTTGGATGGTTTGTGATTTGTATGAGCTGTGTTTTTCTCCCCTCACCAACCTTTGGGTTAAAACTGTAATTTTCATGAATTTTGCTATTAAGTCTCAAGAGCAGCCCTTGAACTCTGGGTTTTCTAAACCTATTGCTGATATTATCTGAAACAACTCCATGAAACATTTGCCAGTGTGCCTTAAGCTGGTGTAAGACCCTGGCTCACTTTGGCTGGAATGAAAGCAGAGTGGTAAAATTGTTTCAGCAGAGCCTTAACCTCCAGTTTTCCCACACCTAATTACATTTGTGCTACTATATCTCACAAATGTTTTTCTTGCCTGTATCAATAGTCTGAAATCTAGAAAACTAGAGGGTTTTGTACACCTGGGATGACCCTTTCTAGTTGTTCAGCCTGTAGTTGTGACTTTGGCACTGTGTTTTCCCCCTCAGCCCTTTGGTGACACCCAGCTGACGTTTGCTCACAGGACCAGAGCCTTCAGGTGTTTGCTCTACCTGGCAGACACCACCACTGTGGAATCACTCTTCAAGAAACCCATTGAGAAAGTCAAGTAAGAGGAATTTTTTACATATTTAAGGGCACTTTTCAGTGTTATCCTGAGCTTGGATACGTGGATTAAAATATAAACGTCACTTAACTCCTGCTTTGGGTGGGGGTTATTTTCACAGGTATTTTCTGAAGTGCTGCATTTATCTGGCAGAGTTTGAGATCTTGAATATTCCATATACTTGTGAATCATTCCACAAGAGCCCTAAGGAAGGCATGATTAAAGGGCTATGGAAGAACCACAGTCATGAACCCAGGGTAGGATTTTTAAATCCTTTGTAAATTTTGTTACACACTGTGTGAATTTACACCTCTCTGCAAAGCACAGGCTTTTCTAAACATTTTTCTTCAATGTACTCTGGAAATGACAGATAAAAGCTTTACCCTTTCTACAGTTAGAAAATAAAATACCACATTTAGATGGTTTAGGTTTTGTTCCTCCCATGTGTGCAATAATTTTGGAAGTGGCTTGGAAAGGTTTGCAGATGATGAATTTCTGTTAAAATGCAGCATGTTCTTGGCTCCCCTTCAGGCTGTGAGACTGGTGACAGAGCTGAGTCTAGAATACCAAGTCTATGATCCCCAGCTCTGGAATGGCCTCCTACAGAAACTCCTGGGCTTCAATATGGTAAGGAATTTTTTAAAGATAAAACTCTGCAGCAAGGGGAGAAAAAGGCTGGGTTTATCCTGTGATTTGTGAAGAACACGATAGATACAGAAACTATGAACCATTGTTACTCTGAGCTCTGAGATACTGAACTGGTGAAGACTTCAGGAATTTGAATTTTGATCTTAAATTGTTAATTTTTAACAATTGTTAATTGTTAAACTTTGAGTTTTTTTTAAAGCCTTTCAAAATAAATCCTATGGTAATAATATGAAGAAAATTATTATTATCAATTTATAACATAATAGGCACATTCTTGTGTGCAAATGTATACAAACTGTGCATACTTGTATTTCCATGTGTGTACATGTATACATGAGCCCTAAAATGTATTTATGATGGTGGAAATCCTGATTGTTGCCATTCAGAACCCTAATTGCCTGTGACTGTCAAACATTGTGTAAAGTTGCTGCAGCCTGAGGAGGTAACAGATGTACCTGGCACTGTGGTTGATAATTTAATTTACTGAACTACAAAGCAAATTTCCATAGGTGTCAAAGGAACACGGGTACCTTGAGAAACTCTAAGTTTGCATGCTGCAGACAAAACAAGCTAAATTTGACAATTATGTACAGTTTTCTGTATATTATTGCCAAATCTTCAGAAACACCAAAGGACTTGATTTTTTTTTTCTTCCAGACTCAGTATCTAAGAAGAGTTTTGGTTGCAATTACTGGGATTCCTTCATTATGGGAGGTAAGCAAATATTGTCTGGCTCCTCATCTTTTTCTTCACTTAACAGTAATGTGGAGTGTTTGTGTGTCAGCCATGAAAAGATTCTTTTTGAATTCCTGTTATTTCTATGACAGTGCAGTATATCAGTAAACATCGGACAGAATCAGTCAGAATATTCCTAAATCTTAGACTCTGAGCTAAGGAAAGCAACATTAGGGAATAATTCAGGATAAATAAACAGGAATATTGACAGGTTTCCTCCAGGTGCAGTGGGGTGTCTGTGTTCATACACATTTGGTTACACCTGGTTTTGGCTGGAACTTGAAAAAACAACTTTGTTCCATCAGATTCCCAGCTTCAGCCGAGCCTGGCGCAGCGTGGTCCTGTCCCCCTTCCTCACAGGTAGGGCTGTAACTCCCCTCCCTGCCCCTGGAGTAACTTGGTTGTAGATTTACTACACCTTGTCCTCTTTCTTTCTTTCTTTCTCAGCCTCGTGTCCACCAAGTCCCAGGCAGCTGCAGGAGTGCAGGGAGTGCTTTGTGCTCCTGCTCAGGTGAGTTCCCAGCCCTGCTCCTGAACATTCTGTGCATGAGCCAGAGCTGCACTGCCTCTGCAGTGTAAAAAGCACTTTGTTTCCTTATTTCAGTCACCACAATGCTCTGACTTGCTGTAAGGACCCACCACAACTCGAGAGCCCAACTTGAACCAAAGTTAATTGGGAAATAGAATAGGTTTGGGTTGGGTGGGACCCTAAAGATTATCTGGAGAGGGATCCTACACTACTCTGCAGACACATCTGTGCCAAAGCTCTGCTCTGGGCAGGTGGCCAACAATGGGCCTCAAAATAGGCTGTTTAGAGAAACTGGAGGTGTGATTTGGGGTTTTAGAAAATCCTTATTGGTCTGTATTCAGTGAAACTTCAATTTGCTTGGCCATTTTTGGAATTAATGTGAGGTAGAAATGTGTTGCTCTACCTGACTTCCAAATCTCAGGGCAGTTTTGCTGACAGCACTGAGCCATCCAGTTAAACAAATCACAGCTGAGAACTTCCCTCCTGGTCTCCTGAAGGTGTCCTGTCCTGGCTGACCTGGATATTGTTGGAATTGCTAAACAATACACCCAGCTGGACCTCCCAGCTTTTGCCCTGGGCTGCCTCTTGGTCACTCCTCACTCTGAGAAGAGAGAGCAGCAAATTCAGGTAAATCAGTTTTGTGTCCTGTCACTGCAAGGGAAATGTCCTTAAGCATGTCCTGCTCACCAGGGCAGGCCAGAGGTGAATTCCAGTTTATTTCAACACATCCCTGCTGATAAATGCTCAACATCTCCACCCTCAAAGGCTTCTAAAAGGGATCATGTGAACACTTCCTCCTTTTCTTTTAAAACTTCAGTCATCCACAGTAGCTTTGTCATCTGACTTTGCCTTTAGAGATTTTGAGGATGTTTTATGAGATCCCACCCATAAAGCACATGGGGGAAAAAACCCAGTAAAACCCAAGCCAGAGCACAGGTTAAGAAAAGCACTGAATCCTGCTTTGGAAGGGTGTTGAGTTGAAAGCTCCTGGCTTCCAAGGAAGGTGTTTGATATGCACCAGCTCTGATAGAAACCTTCTGCCTTAAAGCCTTGTCCTCACCATTCATGAACCTTGACATTTCCCCTGCTCCTCTCATTTGTTTCCTTTTATTTCTGCTCTGCATTGTTCTCCCAGATGAAGCATTAGAGGCTGTTCCCATATTTGGGCACTGTAAATTCTCTGACTTCCTGTCATTAAAGTTCTTCTCAGAAAGTTTTCCCCAAATCACAGCTGTAGTGTAAGACACTCAGCCTGCTGGCAATAAGTCAAAAAATCCTCTGACAGCTACAGCAAAACACCATTTGAGAGAGTTAAAAGCAACTTTCAGTCCAAGCACACAGATCCTGGTTTGATAATTCTGTATTTGCACCTAGAATTTCAAAAGGTTTCTGAATAAATCAAGTATTTGCTCTGAAGGGAGTGTTCCTGCTTTAATCAATCACAGAATAATAATGTTTTGTAACTTATTTTCACAAGGGTTTGTTATCAACCTGTAAGAAAGAAACTGTGCTGCAACAATTGGATGAACACATGGACACTGGAGAACTGGTAGCATTTGCTTCCCAGGTAAATAAATCAAATTTGCTTCACTTCCCTTTGACTTGGAGGCTTTTTTGATAGAAAAGTGTTCACAGAATCTTTTCTCTCCCCTCTGATCTTATCCAGCCTTACCTGACTTTGAATGCTCAAAAAACATAAAATACTTGTAAAATGCATTTTTATTTATGTTGTGCATCTGAGAAACTTCTTGTACATACCCAGTGCCACGTTCTGGGCTGTCCCTGTTTGGAGGGCAGCAGAACCACCTTGTTTTTCCTCAATAAATATTTGAGGCTAAAAGGCCAAAGGATTTGGGAAACTGTACTTTTGCCTTGCCTTGTGCTGCCTCCCCATGGGCAAGTTTAACTCACTTCCCTCTCTGAATCTGGGATCAGTTTTCATTAAATCTGCCATTTCACAGCACTTAAATAAAATGTAAAAAAAATCAAACTCTATTCTTTATAGAGTCCAATATGAAAATTATGAGTTCTTTCCATTCAAAAGTAAAATCTCTTTTGTCTAAAATATTAACACTTCTCATTACTAACACTTAAATCTACAGATCAGCTCTTTGGTTTTGGACAGTATCATCAATGAGAAGCTCTATGAACAGTTCTGGAAAACCAAATATTATCCACTGTTAAAGCAACACCTGATAAACACCCACAGAATAAAAGAGCTGGTGGATTATTTTGCCAAAAAGAACTGGTAAGTTAATAAATGGTAAAAAATCAGGTAGCAATTGCAGGAATAAATCTCACCTTTATTTAATTTTCCTTCGTTTGAAGTCATGGAGGTTTTCTAATACTTAGTCTCTAAGGATTTTTAAGTATTGCTAAGTTAATAAAGAAATAAATTTCACCTCACTAGGATACAGTTTTACAGCCATTCAAGACCAAGTAACAGATTGTTAAGCCTGGACTAGCAGCAGATCAAATGCAGTTAAAATAGAAGCAACCAGAGTGAAATAATCAAAACCTTGACCTTACCTTTAGGTGAGTCCAGCTCAGGGGCATCACAGAGTCACAGCTTCAGCAATAAAAACATTCAGAAAAAAAATAAATGAGCTGCCTGTACTGAAGACTTGGGAATTGGTGGTTTTGCCACGAATTTTCAAGAATTAAAAGCCCTTCTTGTTCTCCACTTAAATCCCAAAAGGGGCTGGGTTGGGCCCCACCCACCTGGGGACTCACAGCACCTGGGCTCCTCTGGGGACTGCAGGGCACTGCTACCACTGATCCCCACTCAGACTGGGACAGGAACCAAGAAACATTTAAATTCTGTACTTATTGATTTTATTAACAGCCCCCAGGAAAAAGGCAGGCTTGCTCTCTCTCTACTGGGAAATGACAGGGCCCACCTGACTTCAAAGCTAGGGGATCATACTTTGGTTTTTACTTCTGTTGTCTGAATTGTTGGCTTTTTAGAGAGCTTCATTTGACAAAGTTGATCAGCTTTTGCCTCTTACAGCCTTGACGATGCAACAGCCCTGATTCAAGAGTATCAAAAGCAATGTGGAAACCCTGCTCTGGCAGATGTCCCAGCATCTCATCTTCTGCAGGTAAAACAAACTTTCTCTGCACCTCAGGCACTATTTTCTCCTTTTTCTCTAAAGATTTTCACCCAACTTCTTGCAAAAATACTTTTTAGCTGATCTACTTTTGTAACATGTGTTGTATATAATAAAATATCCCTTCATTCATTCAAATAATTCATTTTACCTGAACCACATCTGTGTCCTGGATCACATCCCATTTTCCTAAGCCCTATTAGTGTTGTTCTTTGACCTTCCAGATGTACCTGAATGGATCAGAGGAGTCCTGTGTCCTGGAAGTGCCATAAATTAACTGAAGATTTCCCCTTTTCCCTCCTCCCTCTGCTGGCAGGAGGTTGGGCTGTGCATTCACAACTCTTGTACTGCTCAGGAGAACATCAGACCAAAACCCCCAAAGCTTTTACCAAGAGCCTCCACAACCTCTCCACGTTTTCCAGCTGTTCCAGGCTGCTTCTCCTCCATTCTCCACCCCCACAAAACCAGTTCAGACTCACAGCAGAATTTCCTGTTTGGAGTCATCAGTTCATACTCAGCACTTTAACTTTTGGGAAGGAGTAAAGTTTATTTCCTTTACTTCTGTATTTCCTCATGTTCAGGCCTGCTGCCAGGAGCACTCTGAGATGTCACCCACAGCAACAGAACCTTGTCACCACTGTGGCAGACTTTTGTAAAACTGCAGGGGCTGTGTTCATGTAAAATACTTTGTATACAAATTGTAACTTTACAAACTTATGTATCAGTTTTGGCCTTACAGTATAAATAAATGTGTGTCAATTTTGGCCTTACAGTGTAAATTAAAAATAAATAAACTTATGCATCCATTTTGGCCCCTTACAATATTCTATAACCCTCTTAATTATGAGTTTGTCAATAAATGGATGTTCCAGTCAATGGAATTCCCTGAATCACATGCCAAGGTTTTCTTTTCAACTTTGCTCTGACTGCATGAAGTGCAATTAGCCAGAGGTTCTTGAGACACCAGCCTGAAATGTCTTTTTGTCCAGGGCAAAGCAGGTTTATTTTGAATAGAAATGAGTCATTCAGTCAGCTCATGACACAGAAAGAAGGGTTCCAGCTGATGGAAGTGTCATAAACCAAAGGCCAAGGAAACTGCCCCCATCCTAAACATTCTGCTGGGGGAAACAAAAGATAAAAATCTGTTTTGTTGGAAAGTTACAGCAGTTGTGAGAAAGGGGAGCTGTTAAATACATTCAGGTGCCTGCAGCTGTGGGAAGAGAGGAGCCACAAGGTGCTGCTCCTTGAACAACCCAGATTTATCTTCAGCAGCTTTAGAGTCACATGGAATTACATCATTGAGAGCCTCTGTGCATGGAGCAAAGAGCACAAAAAGTGGAGTGTCAGATGTGAGCCGCAAATAAAGGAAACCTCTCCTCACTGGTTATAGATTGAATGAGATCATCATTCACGAAAGCACAGGGAGATCTGAAAGTGCTTTGATCAGAAAAAGACTCAGACTCTGCAGTGAAATTACAAGGTAAGTGTAATCCTTTCAGAGTTTATCAAGCCATTTTACTCCTTGAACTTAGTTGAGAGTGTTCAATTGAGACAATTAAATATAAACTGGATTCTGGAGCAAACCCAGCCTGGTCCCAGAGCCCTCAATCTCTGTTCCAGCCCTGTCCAAGCATCCCTTGGAAGGGGAGCACCAAACCACCACAACTGCTGCATTCTTCCCCAACACCACCTCACCAAGCTCAGCTTTTCTATGAAGTGGAGTTTATTACAACATTAAGGAACAGTATTTCGACAGTTATCTTAATGGAATATTTTACAAATCATACAGAGAAAAGCAAACACAAGGTTGTTTAAATTCATGACAAGAAGTTACATTGTTAAGCTGTTAGAGACAGTGCAGGGCTGTAAACGAGCAGTCAAGTTTTGGAACTTGCAGTTCAGAAAGAGATGGTAAAAATACCAGACAAGCAAAAACATTTTTTAGGATTTCTTGTACTCAATTCTTTCTACCTTCACATCATCTCCAATTAGTTGATAGACATATGTAACTACTGTAGAAGCCTGGATGTCCATCAGCACAAATGAAGGAATGATGTTGCTGGAAAAAGAGGAAAGAATCATAGTGACTGTGTGTCTATAACCCCCTTAGTGTTTTACCAATATTCAGCAGAAATCACTTCAAGAAAAATGGGAATTAATTCTGTAAGTACAGCACATGAGATCTGAGGCTGTGAGCATTTCATGTTTCAGTCCAGGAGACTGAGCAAGTACAACTGTGTGAGTTATACAACTCTAACTATCCTCTCCCTGACATTTAAATCAGAAATATTAACCCTCAGGAGTTTGTAGTTCAGCTTTTCTACAAAAAACAAAACAAAAAAATCTCCCCAACATTCACTTACTTCTCTAAGGCATGGTAGGCTCCTGTGGCTGATCCTGGGTTGATATAGAATTTATTTTCATGTTCAAATGCCTCAAATTTGTGTGTGTGTCCTGAAATGAGGATGTCCACATCAAACTGCCTCTGGAGCAGTGCCAGGCTGGCCATGTCACCCCAGGGGATCACCTGATGGCCATGAATCAGCCCAATTTTGAACTGTCCAACAGTCACAACTTTCTGCTCAGGATAATTCAGGTTCTAAAAACAAAGAAAATAAACCAAACCCAGATTAGACAGATTTCTATTTAAACCCAACACCCAGAAGGGGGGACCTCAGGAACTCATTCCACCACTTTTACTTGAACGAACTCCAAATGTAAAAAAAACATAAAAAATACCCCAAAAAAACCAGACACTACCTCATCAAAGTCCCCTCTGACAACATGAACATCCCCAGCCAGGGTCTTGAGGTAGTCATAGGTGTCCTTGGTGCAGAGGTTCCCTGTGCACAGGATGTGTTGGATCTTGCCAGGCACCAGCAGCTTTTTGAACTTGGCCGGGAGGCTGTTGCAGCGATGGGGGATGTGGAGGTCACCCAGCACCAGCACCAACTTCAGGGACAAAGGGGACAGAGGGGACACACAGGGAGAGAGAGAGGGGACACACAGGGTTAGGGCACAGCCAGCACTGCAGTGTCCCCTGCAGAGCCACACCCTGGCACTTGGACCCAAAAGCTGTGGCAGTGAGGATGGAATGGTGATGGGATTTTGTTCCGTGGGGAACGAGGGTCTCTGCCAGGCCATGAGCAGAGGGGGATTCACAAACAGCTCTACAAGTTTACTGTTTGTTGCTGAAGGCCAACAGAGCAATAGCTGCACTGTTAACACGTTCCTGTTGTATTTTACACAAATTTGGGAGCTGCCATAAACCACCCCACTGTTTATTCTCTCTAACTTAAATCTTTTTCAAGCATAGACCTGGCTAAACTGCAGCCACTTCTCTTTAAAAAACTCAAGTTTCTCTCCCCTTACTAAAAAAAATTAAAAAACCAAAATATTTTTAAAAAGCAGCAAATTTGCAACAGAAGAGTGTTGAGTCCTCATGGTAGAAACCACTGAAAAACTGAATAAGGCTAAAAAATAACAACAAAATACAAACAGGGCACTGCAGAGAAGCCAATCCAGGTCACTGCACAGTGCTCCTGTCACCACTCCTACACATTTACAATTTCAGATGCCAAAATAAAAATGTAGAGGGGGGCTTCAAAATTAAGGCCTGAGATGGTGCAAGGCCGTGGCTTAACAGCACAAGCTTGAAATCTGCAAATAAAGCAATAATGCAAGCAACACAGGGCAAATTAATTGTGCAAAAAGGGCATGAGAAGCTTTATAAAGCAGGGAATGTTATGGCACTGCTCTGGGAAAACCCTGGATCTGGGGACACTCAGCCCTAGGAACTCAAAGAATGGCTCCAAATTAAAGAGATTTTTATCTTCCACTTCATGTTAGTGAGGCAGTTCCTAAAATGACACCCTCAAATGTAAAGGACACAGCCCAGATTTATTTCTAGAAACAAATATAACTAGGCTAGGAAATTGTATTTTTAAAGATTTTTTTTCCCCTCATGGGATTTTAGGCCATGAAGTTACCTTCAGGCTAACAGTGCTCAAGAAGGCAGAGGGAGTTTGGGGAGTATTTTTGATTGGTTTAGGTTTTTTTTTTTAGATTAAGAACACCTCAGTTCCACCATCAAACCCATCTGGAGACAGATGGTTGAAAGTACAGGTAATGCAATAAAAAAGCTTTTTAATTAATGAGTGACCAATTTAAAATCAAACCAGAAGGTAAAAAAAAAAATACATTTTTGATGGTCTTTGTGGGTAACAAGTGGGTAACAGTGATGTGGGTTAATAAGTGACAATAGATGGATTGTCTCACTGCTGCCTGAGGGACTTCAGTGTGCAGTACCAGTTATGTATTTGATGTTTAATAAAATGATCCTGCCCCTCACACACCCACCGAGCCAGCAGCGTGTGCTCTCAGCACAGAAATCCCCTTTGCTGACAAAATGCCAGCCCCACGCTTCCCCAAAATTCACATTTCAGCTCCCTTCATTACAGAAAAGCTCAGCAAGCTGCAGGAACCAAACCAAAGGAGCAGCACTGCAGGGTTTAATCACCACACGTATCTAGAGCTTAAAGCAGTGGCGACAAATGACAAAACACCTGGATTTTGGGTGTGATCTGAGGCGTGGCATGGCCAGCAGCCCCTAAATTCATCGGAGCCACCTGCCAGTGCCACGGAGGAACACGACCGAGCCCTTCCCAGGGGTGTGAGCGAGAGCCAAGGAGTGACTTACTCTGTGCCCAGCCTGCTGGGAATGAAGGAGTTGATTGCAGGGGATGAGAAACAGGGCGGAACATGATCAATGTTAAACGAGAGGAAGCAACAGAAGAGAAAACACAGCCAAATGAACGGGCAAATAATAATTAATGAGTTGTCGATGTTATGAAAGAAGCGTTAAATAATTTAAAAAAAAAAATTATTAATGCGATTACGATAAAATTAAGACAAATTATAAACGGAGCTCCTGCAGTCACGGCCCGGCCCTCACCGCCCTGGGGGCCTCGCCTCAGCTGGGGATCGCCCTCCCGCCCGCTCTGCCCCAGCCCGGCCGGGTCGGGCCCGGCTGCTGTGGCCGTGCCGGGGGTTCCGGGGGTTCCGGTGTGCCCGGGGGGTCCCGGGGGGCTCCGGGCTCTCCCCGCTCTCACCATCGCGCCCGCTCCGCTCCGGCCCTCCCGGAACCGCCCGGCACCGCCCCCGCTACGGCGCCTGCGAAGGGACAACAGAGCGCCGAACGCGTCCGTGCCGCCTTCCGCTGGCTGGGTTTTTACGCAGTCAGGGTTTTACACAGGTGAAACGAGAGTTGTCCGCAAAACGAGCCGATAATGACGAGAGAGAGAGAGAGACAGACAAACACTGATTATTTATTTCAGAGTCGCGCAAGCCTGGGCGCTCCGTGGTCTCCCACAAGCCAAGCGCCCCGACTATCAATTATTTTTACTATTTATGCATTTTAGGAAACAAAAGAATTGGTGTTCATTGACTATAAGTTACATAGTTCTCTTATTAATTAGTATTCCACAGGTAATGATTCTCTTGCCTCCCATGATAATTAGTGCCATGCTCAGCCCTTTTCTTTTGGGTCGGGGGCGTTTCCCGGCTCTGTTCCTGAGCTGGGGCTGCCGAGGGCAGCTCCGATCTCTGCTCTGGGACAGGGACAGACCCAGGGAACGACTGGAGCTGTGTCAGGGGGGGTTAGGCTGGAGATCAGGGAAAGGTTCTCCCCAGAGGGTGCTGGGCACTGCCCAGGGAATGGGCACAGCCCTGAGGCTGCCACAGCTCCAGGAGAGGCTGGACAGAGCCCTCAGGACCGCACAGGGTGGGATTGTTGGGGTGTCTGTGCAGGGCCGGGCGTTGGGCTGAAGATCCCTGCGGGTGACTCGGGACAACCTCTAATTCCACAATTCCATAATTCCGTAATTCCGTATTTCCACAATTCCACAATCCCGGGGTTCCACATCCGGGGCTCCGCGCGGCGCGCGCCCTGCCCTCACGGCGTTTCCCGCCCTCCGCGGCCGTGAGGGGAGGGGGGGGGCGGCCGTGAGGGGAGAGGGAGGGCGGCCATGAAGTGCGTGATCGGGGGGGCGCAGCTCCGAGGTACCCGGCCCGGGGAGCCCGGCACACGCGGGGATTGCTGCGGGACACCGGGAACGCGGCACCCCCGGCAGGGCCCTGAGCGGAACACGAGCGCCGGGAGCGGAGCGGGGCGGGGGATCCGCCTCTCCCTCATGGCGGGCGTTGTGCGGGGAGTGCGCGGCTGCGGCTTGTTCAGCTGTGCGGGATCTGGGGACAGCCAGGGGGAGATGCCAGGGCCGGGCTGCGGGTCCCCTGTGCCCCTCCAGGGGCACAGCTCCACTCCTGGTGCGGCATTCTGTGCCAAAAGCTGCTCCGCCGCTGCCTGAGGCAGATCCGCAGGCCCTCTGCTGGGCCCCGCTGGCTTTCTTAGGATTCCATCTCTCCAGATGTCCCCTTCTTCCCAGGCTTTCCATCTGCTGAATGTCATTTCTAGTCCCCGTGGTGGAGTTTTGTCTCATTGATTTGATTTGTGGTAACTCCAGGTGCTGCAAAGGGACACGCAATGTCCGAGGTGCCTCGTCAGGGGCAGATTTCCAAAACATTGAGGGTTTGGATAATTAAAATATTAATTAAAAAGAAAAAGTAACAGTTTCCACCATCCGTTTTCTTTCAAATATATAAGAACTTTGTAATGTTTCCTCTTGGATTATTCTGGACAAAGCGCAGTGCCACCTTTTTATTTAATTTAGAATGCATATTGCAGTGTTTTCTTTCCCTGGCAGTGTTTGGAAGAGCAATACATGCCATAGCACGGATTAGTGATGAATTTTGGTTTGACCCCATAGAAAAAGGTGTAAGTGAATTTTATTTCTTCTAATTTAAAATTCTTTATTATGAGCCAAATATTTATACTGTTGGATATTCTGTTTTTCTACAGGTACCTTTCAGTCCATCACATCACATTTCTGTGATTGTAATTATGCATATTCCATCATGGAAGATTTCATTCCTACTCTGCCCTAAGATCCTTTGGTTTTTTTGTTGTCCAGGACATCTGGATTAATGCCACGGGGTGCAGTTCTGTTGTCACAGGTCACAAGGTTTGAGTTTTGTACCACACAGGAGCTGCCTCTGAAAACAACATGTTTTGTACTGTTGTGACTCAACAGGAAGAACACATCCATTAACGCCTCTGATTAATCAAACACCATTTCCAGCAGAATTAGTGTTTTCTCCAGAGGTTTCTTAGGTAAAAGTGATCAGCTCTCCTTGGCTCACTGGGAGGATGGAAAATCACAAGTGCAGATATTTGGTTTTATACCTGAGGAATTTTTGAGGTGTCTTTGCTCATCTGTATGGATCATGCCTCTCAAATGCCTCAAACACAAGCTGAGCTCTGGGTGTTTGGGTAACTCAATTATTTTTATTTAAAGATTTTCAAATCAAATAAAAATGCATTTTTAAATTTTTTTATAATTTTGAGATGTAAATTTCCAGGTTTGCTGGTGGCACTGAAGCCCAGAGGAGGCTCTTTTTAAAAGGTTCAAGTTTTGAGTTAATAAATCATTTTATTTCTGTTCCCTCAGTGCTTGGATTCAGTGATGCTGGAGGTCTTTTCCAGCCCTAATGACTCTGTGATTCCATTTCCAGCTTGCCTTAAGATCAGTGAATTCCTCGAGGTCAGCATATGCATGTGTGTTCTTCTCATCCATGTTTTTCCAGCATTACTGCTGCACAGCTGCGCCCCAGCCCTGTCAGAAGGAGAAGCAGTTATCCCTCCCCTGTAAATTGATAATTAAGGTACATTTTAGTGAGTTGTTACACACAGCAGCAAATTAACCCAATTTGCAGCTGAAATTGTGGTGGGTGAGGATCAGCCTGGGCTCTCTGTGTCCCCAGAGCGGTTTGGGGAAACCCTAAGGGCAGCAGCTTGGGATAAACCAGGGTACAAACCCAGAGAAATTACATTTATTGCAAAGCTGCTCAGGGAGCAACATCTGCACTGATTTTATTTTTTTTCCCAGTCAGTTCTCCCTGTGTTTAGATGTGTAAATGTGCTGGAAAGGAACGTAGAGAAATGCAGCATCTCCACCAGCCCCAGTGAGCAGCACGTCACCTTCCAGCTGCTCTGCAGGCACGGTAAGGTCACAGGGCAGTGAAAACCACAGCAGTTCATGCTGTTATCCACACAGGCCTGTCATCCTCAGCCCAGCAGCACTGGGAATGTCCATCAGCATCAGCCTCTGCAAAATTCCTAAATAAACATCATCTCCCCGTGCCCCAGAGCTGTGCTGTGCTGCAGGTTTGTGTTGCCAATAATCCAGCTGGGGTTACTGGTTTGGGATAATATGTTGAATTAGGTCTGCAGGCAGCTGAGCTCCCTTAGCACACCCCTGCCCAGAAGGGCAGAGATCTGGGGGGGTTGTGCTCTGCATTCCACTCCCATTTATATTATTTTACCAGTTAATTACTGGGGCTGCTTCCCACCCTGCATCTGTTGGTTTATTTCTTGTGGGTCCTTAAAAAACTCAGGTGCTGTCCAGGCACAGCTGGTGGGATGGAGGGAGTCCAAGATGGCAGGTGGATTCCTTTTCCTCTTGGTGGTGACTTATTTCCATATAGCTACACTAGGTCACTTGGTTACTTCCTCTATTGAACAATTAATATTAAAAAAAAAACACTTAAAATTACAGCCAAGCACTGATTTTTGTTCATTTCCTTCATACTCAGGTGTTGTAAAAACCTATAACCTGACATTTCAGGAGTGTGATCCCTTGCAGGCTGTTTTTGCAAAGCACATGTGTCCAAACATTCTTAAAGTCCACTCCAGGTAACAAACACAGAAATATTTTTTTTTAGTTTTACTTTCTAATGTAATAAATGCTAAATAGTCATAGATAGAAATATTTTAGTTTTGAATGACATTTTATAGGCTGCTGGCTGATGTGATGATCCACTTCCCAACCAGTCAGGAAGAAATAACCTTGTCAGTAACTCCAATGAAAGTTTGTTTCAAGAGTTACACTGAGGAAGACACTGGTAAGGAAATTCAAAATGTGAGCCAATACTGGGGCTTTTAACTTTTTTTTTTTTTTTTTTTGAGGTGACAAGAGTTACACTGAGGAAGACACTGGTAAGGAAATTCAAAATGTAAGCCAGTACTTGGGCTTTTAACTTTTTATTTTTTTTTTTTTTTGAGGTGAACTCCAGGAATAATAACTGTCACGACATAAATGTGGGATGAATTTTATGGCTGGATGACATTTTTAACAGAACATTACAGAGAGAGATTTTAAGTCATGCTGCCACCCTCTGGTTTTAATAAATTAAATAAATTTAAATAAATTGAAACATCTTCCTGGTGTCAGTGGCAGATCTCAGACTGAGCAGCCAATTGAAATAAATTATGCCACTTGCTGTAGGCTTTGAAAGAGGTAATTACTGTGCTGCAAGAGCAGCAGCCTGGCAACTGCCAGGAAAAAGGGGATAATTTTATGTTTTAAAAAGAACTATTTAAATCTGAATACCACAATTATAGAATTGATATCATTAGAGAGTATATTTCAGTCTGAGGACAGCACAGAGTGTCAGTAAGCCCTGCACTGTTCTGCCATGGTCACATCTCCAGGAGGTGGAGAACCAGCTGGAGATTCTTGGGATGTGACTCCAATTTTGAAGATGAAATTGTGGTTTTGAAGTAGAGGTTCTTGTGTATCATATAATAAAGAGATGCTTTTCATGCTTGTTGTGACCGAAGCTGAGGAGAATGATCTGGGAAGAGCCCAGGGCTGGGAACTGGGCTGGGAACAGGCTAAGAGAAGGATCAAGGAGCAGAAAGTGGCTGGAGTGAAACAGGGCAGAAATTACTGAGAAGAAAGAGTTTGCATTTTGAATGGCACATTTGGTGACTTCAGAAACATTCACTTACCAGGGCTATTGTAAGAAAGAAAGTGAAAAAATGGTAAATTGTAAAGAGATACCAAGAGCCTAGTGAGGGAAGGGAACAGGGCAGTGAGAGGAGCTGTGCCCGGTGAATCTCCCTGCCTGCAGCGCCTGGGGCTTCCACAGAAATCGAACCCTCTGCCCACCCCTCGTGGCTCAGCCGCAGCTGCAGGGTGCGACAAACACCCCTGCCACAGCCACGAGGAGCTTCTTGCAAAGCCTGTTTGACTCTGGGAGATAAAACAGAGAGCAGAGAAAGGGAAGAGTGGGAATAGCCTGGAGCACTTCCTTGGCAGCCCGGCCTGGCCGGGGAGCAGCTCGAGCTGCTGTGGAATTTCTCTGAGCTCTCCAGGACTGTCACACGCCAGGAAAGCTCCCTCTCACTTTCTCCTCACGCACCCATTGACAGCTCGGAGGAACCTCACGGTAACAAAAAACTGAGCACCTGAAAGTGAACAGCCAATTTCCTGCTGCCACTTTCCTGTGTCAGGAAAGGATTGTAATTTAAAACAAAGAGCCGCTGTCCACCTCCATTGTGCTCTGGTAATTGTCATTAATTTTGATTAATCTCTTCAAGTCACGCTGCATTTTGGGCTTCCCATCCATGCAACAATAGGCAGCTGGGAATATTATTTGTGATGGATGCCTGTGGAAGAAGCAGATCTGCAAGAGCAGCAGCAGGTGTTAGGTTAGCTCACACAGCAGAACATGGAACAGGTTCTGTTAAAATCCATTCAAATCTATGCAATGTACTGCAAATAAATTGAGGATTTTACTTAATTCTAATATGTATATAAGCTAAACATTTATTACTGTTAACCACTATAAAACCACAATTATTTGTTCAAACAATGCTGAGGTAAAAACCTCAAGGTTACAATTACAGTGTTGAGTTCAAACTTCACTGCCTGAGTCCCTGACTTTGTTGTTATCTCAAACAGACTTTTCAAGGACAATGCTTACTGAGATACAGCTCAGTCCAGAGGAATTTGACTACTTTCAAGTTGGAGTAGATTCTGAAGTGACATTTTGCCTTAAAGAACTGAGGGTAAAGTAAGAATTTGTCTGGGAAGAAAATCCATTTCTCAATAATTTGCCTGACTGGACCAGGACAACACGGGATGGTCCCTGTGGAGTGGCCCTGGGCTGTGCCCCAGCAGCCCTCCTGACAGCAGCAGGGTTTTACCTGGGTGAGGATTGGCTTTAAACCCCAGGATCCTTTGAAAGGCAAACAAAAGCCCTTCTGAAAGAGAGAAGAGGTTTCTGTGCTGGGCAGACACAGCACAGCTGCCCCAGGGAAAGCATCGTGACCAGGGATGTTCTCCATGCAGAACCTCCTCTGGCAAGGCTCTGGCAGGGAAGGACAGAAATCATTCTTGGAAGCAGCAGACTTTTCCCCTCTTTTTGCCAGTAAACAGCAGCTGGGATAAACTCACATTCCAGTATCAGTGTTCTGGTTTAACAAGCACTTCACCCCCTCCTTCTCTGCAGGGCCTGCTGGCGTTTTCCGAAGCCACGAGCGTTCCTGTGTCCATCCACTTCGACAGATGTGGGAAGTACGTGTGGGAGCTGCCCTGGCTGGGGCCTGCAGTCCCCAGTGAACACTGAACTGCAGCTCCTCATCTCAAAGCCAAAGCCATTTCTAACCTGCACTCCAGAGTTTGTAATTCCAGATAAACACTGAACCCCAGTGTGGGCATTGCCAAGGCAGCTGTGCTGACTGATGAGCTCCTGTGTATAAATTACCTGACACCTGAGGCTCTCAGTCCCCTGCAGGCAATGATTTATTTATTTAGCGTTTTAAAGAAACAATACATTTACTGAATTAATATAATTTCAATAATTACATATTTAATGCTATCATTTGACTCGGACACAGCATTTGCTGATTGGAGCAGTGAGATCTGTAAGAGGAGCCCCTCTCTCATTCCTCAGCAGCAAATACAGGAGCTTTCCAGCTTTTCAGAGGAGGTGCTTTTTAATTCAATAGGTGGAATCACAGCATCTGTAATTCCCTGTGCTGTTTGGTCTCAATTCTCGTGTTTAGACCCATTGCATTCAGCATTGAGGACCTGCTGCTGGAGGCCAGCTTTATCCTGGCTACCTTGTGTGAGGCTGAGAAGGAGGCAGCTCCCCCAGAGCCTGCCTGCTGCCCACGGCCCTGGGACAGGTAACAGGGGCTGAGGGGGCAGGTGGCCTTAAGAGGGTGAAAAACTCAGATTTTCACAGGAAAACTGTGAACTACAGGGGTTCAGGAACATCTCAGCAGCACAACAGCAATAAGGGGGTGCAAGAGAGAACGCTCTGTACAAGCTGCTGCTTTCTCCACGGGGTGTGGGTGCAGCAGGAGGGAAGCTGCTGAGAATTTCCTCTAAAGCTGTAATCTTTTCACAAACAGAAAGTAAGGATATTCCAATGAAACACAAAGCCAGCTCTGACTTGCCCTACTCTGTTCAATCCAGCTCAAGGACTGGCATGGATAAATCTGACCAGACCTCCATGGATGGAGCCAGCAACGCAGTCACAGCCACTTCCAAAAAGCCACAGCAGAAGGGAAACACTCAGAGCATGGACCCTGCAAAACCCCCAAGTGGTCTGGCAAAACAAGAGGTAAAAAATATTCCCAGAGGCACAGAGAGGGATGTGCCAGGCAGAGCAGGAGCAGCCACGGCCCAGCCAGCCAGAGGAGAAGCCACAGAGGCTCCTTATGCCAAGGTGAGGAACTCCCCACGGTGCCAGGAGGGGAACCCCACAGCTGCTGTTTGGCTGAGCACCCCCACGTGCACTTGGGGGTTTCAGTGGGATCAGCTGTGACAGCAGCACAGCTGGAGAACCCCAGCACTGCTGGGAACACTCCTGGGGGCAGCTGGGTTTCAATGGGAAACGCTGCTGGCTGAGAAAGATCTTAAACTTCACAAATAATTAATGCCCAAATTCTGTATCACGGAATTCTTACCTGTACAAATATTGCATTTTCCAGTTCCACTCCTTGTTCTTTGGAGCTGTCTCTTACAAGGAGAAGGAGGCCGTCGGTGACACCTTCCAGAGCTTGGTGACAGCCAGTGACACTGAGGAGGAGCTGGGTGCCTTGCAGAGCTCCCCGGTTCTGTAGTGCAGGGCTTGGGGTCCAAGGACAGACAGTGGGGAGCGCCCAGGAGGGAGGGGCAGGGCAGGCCCAGCCTTTGTCACTGGTGCTGTGACCCAGCAGCACAGAACGTTCTGGAACTGCCAGTGCTCTGGTAATGGCACAAATTTAGGTCACGATTGACTCCGTTGAGGTTTGTGTGTTCTGCAGGAGCTGCTGGGGGTTCTGCTCTCAGAACACTCTCACTGGAGAGAGGCTCAGTTTGAATTCAAACTCTGTTACCCCATCAGGTTAAGGGAGAACTCAGGTTTTTACAGGTTCTCTAGAACCAGCCTTTAACTGAAAAACCAAAGTTGTCACAGAACTGCATTTAAAAAAATAAAGGTTTGAGTTTCAGACTTGCATTATTCTTTTCCTTCCCGGAGTCTCTCCCCCCACACGCCAGGGGCAGTGCAGTATTTCCAAAGTCACACTGGAATACGACACTGAAGTTCCCAGTCAATTAAAGGATGGTTATCTGTCTGCCAGGCTGCTGCAGAAGGCATTGGGTGTCACTCAGGTGTGGCCCCGAGAGCCGAGCAGGGAGGTCACAGTGACAGCCCAGCCCCCCAGCCCTGGCTGTGCCTCTGTGCCTCCAACCACATCCCCACATCAACAAACAGAGGGTTTGCAGGCAACTTGACTTTAAAAAGCACATTTTAGTATAAATACTATATTTATTAAATATCTTTACAATTTATTTAAATGTATTTACAGAACTATTCCTGCATAAGTTATACCTCAGACATGAAATTCACATAATTGCCTCTTGGGTAAGCATAGATGATAGTCTCATTTTAACAGCAACAAAAAAGCATCCTCAGATACAGACTCGGATTTGCTTCATTGTTTCAGCTATCTTTGTCAGAAACTACTGCATACAGTCGGCTTTTCCACACAGCAGCTGCTCCTCCCCTGGAGAAAGGATGTTCCATCACTAAATCCTCCCATCCCTGCCAGATCATCACCTCTCTCTTCTCCTCGACTCACTTGTAACTGCCTGGTCCCAAATCTGGTTTTTGGTTTGGTTTTGTTTTCAGCCTGAAAAGGACATTTAGGACTGTATGTGGCAGCTCTCCCAAAGATAGCCAGGAAAACAGCAAGGAACCACAGAGCTCCTCCAGTTCACATCTTCGCCCTGTCCCACCCCGATCCCCACGGCCGCTGTGCAGCAATCCCAGGTTCCTGGGGGACGAAGCTCCTCCCGTTCCTCCAGATCCTGCTCCCAACCCAGCAGCTCCCAAAACCAACCACAACCCTCTGCAGCAGCTCCAAGGCAGCTCGTGCTCAGCAAACACCTTTCTTGTACATTCCTCTGGTGAACATTCCCACTGACCTAACCCCTAGCAAGTGTTACTGCTTCATGCATCGCTGGGAATTATTTTTGATAGGATGGGCCCTGTCCTTTCCTTCTCCAAAGATCAGTTGTGCGCAGACAGCGTTAAGTTCATAGGAAAAAATCAGGTTTGATATGTTCAGAGTGCACATCTTAAAAAAAAACCCAAAACAATCAAGCATGTGATAAAAATATCAATTCTTTATAATACAGTATTGCTTTATAAACAGATGGAAAAGCTAAAAGCTTTACTGGTCTTTGGTGTGCCCGGTGAGGGAAAAACTCATGATTTGTAAATCAAAAGCCAAATTTGTTCTTTATTTAAAAAAACCCAACAGGTCATGGTGTGATAGGAGGCAAACGGCTTTGTGGACACAGACAGGGAGGAGCGGGAATTGGGGAATTCCAGACCCCTGACCCACACAGTCCCCAGGGAAAGCTCTGGAAAGCCAGGAAGGGGAACAGGGAGGGCTGGGGACTGTGCTGAGAGCAGAGAACAGCCCGGGGCCACGGGGGCGTCACTTGAAGGGAAGGGCAAAGGAAAAGAAGAATTGATCAAATCTGCTCTAATCCAGAAGCATGCGAGTAAATACTGGATAAATGTAAAGACAGCCAGAGTCGGGAGAGAAAGGCCCCTCCCAAACAAGAAACAAAGCCCTGTTCTGCATGTGAATACATTCCTCCAAGACAGCCAGAGACAGCTTGTTCAGGTTAAAAACAACAAGGACTGACAGGTTGTGCAAAGTTCTCCACCACTCACTGTTCGTGTGTCACAAAATTAATTAATTTTTCTTCATTAATATAATCCTCCCCATACCCTCACCAAAATCCTATTTTGGTCAAGTTAGGGTAGTTAAGGCATTTTGACAAGTAATTACAAGGTGATTTAAAGTAGATATCTAACATTATGCCAATTGAGGAATAGCAGATAAATTACTGAAGAGCTCCCAAATTAATCACTTATTATAAATGAAATGCCTGTTACAAGCATGATGCACTGAAATATAGTAAAATGACATGTACATGGTACATGTTAAATGACCTTAAATAAAAGCTTGACATTGTTACGCAAATATACAGTACAAGTCCACAAAAATTCTTTAAACAAGTTGAGGTAACCTCAAACTTAAACAGTTTTAATACAATAAACCAGGTAGTAAAAATCTCCTCTTGAGAGCAGGCAAGATTCCTTACTGACCAAGTTTAACTGCACTCACCTAAACAGCAACATTACCCGACTTTTTATATATAAAAACATGGCTTTAATTTATTTCTACATACTTCTCTACCAGCAAAAAAGTTAATGAAAAACTGACCAAAAATATATATATCTTTACAGCTCTCAGCTTTCACATGAGCCTCAGGAAAGGAAAAGGAAAGCTGGCTGGAAAAGGGGGGACAAATGTGAGCTACTGTCATTGAAAAGGAAATGTCATATTGCAAAGTGGCTGTTAGATAACTGTAAACATCATTAAGGATCATTGAAACCCCTAAACTTTAGTTAAAATGAAATGTAGGCTTTGCTGATTATTCATTAAGTTTCCATTTTCGTACTCGCTGCCGCTGCCGCAGCAGAAGCAAGGAGGTGCCTGTTGGAGTCAGAAAGGATCAACTGGACTTAAACTGGTGCAGCATATTCTGTTCTACAAGCGAGAGTGGCAATCATTAACACAAATTATGTTTTATATTAACAACAGAATTATCTACCCAAAGTGAAGACGCTCGGAGTTGAGGATGAGCTGTTTTGTGCAACCTCCCACCGTAGCATTTACCATCACCCCACGCTGAGATGGGTCCAAATGCTGAAAGACCTCAACTGTGGCCAGCTCGGCTGTTTGAGACTGAGCTAGAATTTTTGTTTAAAAAAAAAAAATTATCCACAGCCAAAACATCCAGAACCAGGCCCATTATGGACGAATGATCTGCAGAACTTTTAAGATCACAGTTAAGCACCTGAAATCACAAAACACATTTGCATCCATATAACTTGAACTAGGTTTGTTTGAAATCTCGTACTAGAAAAGGCTCCTAAGGCTGACACCATGGATGGCAAGAGCAGAATGTTTACAGCAGTTATAAATCTCCTGAAAACCGGAGCTCAGAAACACGAAACCTCGGCTATCACTGGAACAAGACTATGCTTTATGGAACTGGGTCTGTAACACACCCTCAACAACAGCGAACGTTCCTAGGAAATAGAGTAATATGCCCTGGTGCAGAGGCGTTACCTACTGATCTAGTTTGAAAGGTGACCAACCAATCCCACTCCTTGGAAAGTCACATCTCCAACGCTGGGGGATGGATCCTCCCCTGTTCTGGACAAGGACTAAGCTCTCAAAGACAAGCTCCAAGCCTTGAGCTTCTTCATCTCTTGCTGGCAGACCAAGACCAGTGGACTACGAGTGGTTCTTAGCAAGGGCCTCAGCTGCGTCTCGGGCCAGGCTCCGGGCTCAGGGCTGGCTGCCCGGAGCAGCTGGGAAGGAAGGAACAATCCTGCCAGCAGGAAACCGGCCGGGGGGCCCGGGGAGCTCGGACAGCACCTCAGTCTGTGTACTCGGCTACGATGGAAAGGAGGACGGTGATGTCGTCTGGTTTCCCCCCTGCAATGGAAGCAAAAACTCCCTTATTTCATCAAACCACAGTGGGGTGTCTTCTGATGATCTGTGATAATCCCCGTGGAAAGCTCTGAAGTGTCCAAAACCTGGTTTGAGTAGACACAAACTCTGCCTCCCCCACCTCCTTTCCAAAGCGAGGGGCGCGGTGACATTTAACACAGCACTAAACCACGCTCCTTTTAAGCTCCAGTGAGATCAAACTATGAAAAGGAGGTCAGAACCTTGAGCATTGCTGGTAGCTGGCACAGCTCAAAGCCTGTTTTCAGCAGACTCTTGAATAAATGCACAAAACACCTGACACTGCTTTGTTACATGTAAACTGCCATGAAATCAGATCTCCTCAGGAATTTCCATTGTAAATCAAGCACCTCTTTAGCATCTTCTCCAGCACTGTATTACCTCGGGTCTTCCTAAAAGCTTCTTAACATTTTTAATAGTTATTTTTTGATCCTCAACTGCCAGAGCAACACACTTAAATCCTGGAGAAATGGCCCAGAAGAGAGGTTTTGTTATGTGGGACGTCAAACCAATCCCTTGGACTCTGGAAATCTGCAGCCTCACTACTGAGTGCCTGAACTTGGAGCAACACAGAGCCCAAGTGTGACAGCTGCTACCTGAGGAAGGGGCTTAAGGTTCTTGCAGGAAATCCTGCCCCTCTGATACAGAGATGAGAACATCTTTACTGGCAGAATTTTATTTACTTATTTATTTTGATGTAAAAGATTGTTAAAAGAAAGGTGTTTGCTCAGGCTCTGAGCTCTACCAGCTGTTTTGCCAGTACCTTTCTAAAACACAGAAGTAGAACCAACAGAGAGATCACTATGGGGATGCCAATTATATAAGAGTTGCAAATTTCAACCAAAAAACCAATTCCAAATCTACCAAAGAGTGGGCAGAACCTCAGCTGAAACACAGTAAGAAGAGACCTGAAAAAAAACCCGAAACAAAAAACTACCCTCACACAACACCACCCACACACCCGAATCCAAGCAACAAGTCATGTACAGGAGTACTGGAGAACTCATCTCAGGCAGGATTCCTGGGGCAGGACTGCACAGATTACAGTAAAAAGGAAACAATCAGGGCACTGTGTTCTCTGTGCTCCAGCTGCTTCCCCACAGGAGGCTCCTGCCCTGCTGAGCCCAGGATGCCCTGTGCAGGCCCTGGCGGCTTTGCCAAATCCCACACGAGCTTGGTGCTTCTCTGCCAACCACATCTCCTACTGTTCTGTTTTCCTACAGGATTTTGGAACAGCAGAATTTCACTTTGCTAAAGATCTCTCCAAGACAGCAGCAGTGGGAGGAGGAGAAGCTCTTACCTCTGACATTCAATCCATTGTCACAGGCAAACTGTGCAAAGGGTGACATGTACGTGGGGTCATAGGCCAGCTCGTGGGCTTGCTCAGCAATGCTCCGTGCAGTCTGCTGGATGCTCTCGTAGTTGGAGTTCTAAATTCATGAGGAAAAGAGTTTATTCTTGTACAGAAGCCTACAGAAGGTTTTGTGCTGATCTGTGTCAGGTTTGGAGATCCCTCACTGCCGAGTCATTAATTATCACCTTCCCTTGCAAACAGAGCCTTTCCCATTCTTTAGGCTTTGTAAATTGGGTTACAACTGTGGATGTTCACAAGGGGCAGGCAGACCTCAAATCCCCACCAGCAGCTCAAGACTTGGGTTTGGAGGATTTCCAGAATTTAGAAGCTTAGAAGAATACTACTCAAAACAGACTAAACTATGTCACCTGAAGGGAACAGGGCACTTGGCAGCTGTCCCTGCAGGCACCCTGCAAGGACCTTCCCTCCCTCCCAAACAGGCTCTAGTGAAGTATTTGTTTTATCTCGAGTGCAAGCCTTGCACCTCTGGCTCTCTCACCCCAGCTGACAAGAACACCCTTGGGGAGAAGGGGCACTTTAAATTCAGATGACAAAAATGCACTGAGAGCACACACACTTTCTCCAGGCTGCATTTTAAGGACTTTTTTTTCCTGTTTCAGTAACTCTGCAGCTTTCTTCCCAGGCTTTTCTAACTCCAGCCAACATGACAGACAACCACTGCTCTTTTTGTCTGTAACCATTTTTAAATGCCTTGTCATTTCAAGAGCCTTCCCCGCAGGTTTGGGAATTAGCAGGCATTTATGTGATTAACTTTTGGCTGAACCTCTTGGGGAACTCCAGTGCCTTTCCCAAACACACCAAAAGGTGGAGCTCAGCTTTCTTCCACAAGGGAATTCCAGCTCCAGTGGGCAGCCAGGACAGCCTTACTTGTGCACAGACAAGGGTGTGAGGTGGCTGCAGCCCCAGTGACACATTAGTGACCCGTGCAGCTGCAGGATAAGAGGAGGCCAAATTCTCTTGAAACCACACTGTAATGCTCTTATTTGCATTTCACAGCAAAATGGTTTCCTCAAGGAGTTTATACATATTGATATCTCCTTAAGTGTACTTTCCTTTCTGTAACTAAATAGCCTGAAGCTAAATGTTCTCAGCCATAAAGTTAAAATATTTTAATGTATTCTTACTATTTAAAAAGAACATTTGTGGTCACTAATGTGGAAAAGTTGACAGGATTTTTTTCTTACAGAACACTGAAGATTTTCAAGCACATGCAACCCACAATTCAGACAGCCCATACTATGTCAGAATTACTGGTTAGAGAAGCTGAAAGTTATTTTAAGTGTAAGCTCACCCTCAAGTAACCCAGGAGAGGCTTCTCTATTTTCCTGTGTATCACCTCCAACCTGCAGGTGCAGTGTGTGGCCAAAGGCAGCCTCTGCTATCTCCTCCTTCTCTTCCCCTCCTCCTCTCCCTCCCTCAGTTACCGACATGGAACCAGCTGTTATTTGGGACTTTATGCCCAAGGTGCTGCTTCTGGATTCAGGCTGGATGCAGATCCAAGAGAAAGCCCTCTGGGCTCAATGTCCCCTGCACTGACTGCTCCCATTACCTGAAAAGCCTTTTAAGGACACAGCTCTTTGTGGTTTGGTTTTTTCATAAAACACAAAGCTTTCAGCTATTAGAAGCAAAGGAAGTAACTGTAAAGGTTCAGCCAGCACAAAATATGTGAGGGCTGGAGAACACACAGACTCACCTTCAGCTTTTTCAACTCCTGCAGGATCATGTAGTCAGGCATGTTGTCAAACAGTCCGTCTGTGGCGGTCAGGATGATGTCCCCAAGCTGGACATCGAAGGACGTGCTGTCAGCAGCCTCGGGGCTGGGGAGGGACAGAGGTTAAAGGACTCCAGCCCTCACAAAGAACCAAACAGCCTCCAACAGCACACCCACAGCCTCTGCACTTCACTGCTCTCTGGGGTTTGTGCAAGGGAAAGGAATAATCGCTCACTGTGGAGCTTTAGCACCAGCATGGGCTGTCAGGAAAGCCCCACCACAGGCCCTGGGACTGCAAACAGGTCCTGTTCCAGCTCCCACACCCAGGATTTGCACTTAAAATTCCCACATGAACAATCCTGCAAACTAATCTGCTTCAGGAGTGTGTCTCCAAGGAAACCAGTAAGCAGAATGGCAGCTCAGAGCTCCCTTCTGCTCATCTAGAAGATGTAAGAGAGTGATACTTGAAAGAACAATTCATAACAGGCCTGGCCCAAACACTTCAGGATTCTGAATCACTTTCTAATTCAGTGGAATATGAAACATGTCTGGAAATCACTACCAGGAGACCAGAGTTCTCTGGAATGCTTGTGTCTAACACATTACACAACACCAAGAGCAGAAAACACCCAGTTTGGGCATAAATATTGCTGCAAAATCTGACTCTCAGAAGCAACATAACAACAAACCTTTTATTTTTGCAGACTCTACAGGGATCTGTAAAAAGGAGAAATCACTGCATCCCAGGCCACTGGGCTCTGCCAAAACACAGAGGAGCTGCTTTGCTCAACTGATGTGTAGCTTCAGGAAGGCTGATGGAGTTAAGATTGCCTGCCTGTGCCCATATATAGCCAAATTCATCACTGAACTGGGACAACAAATAAAAAAGGACAGGAGAAGCGTTTCGACAAGGAGCATGAGTACTAATTAACGTCAGGAACAGTGCAGGAACCAGCAGAAAGCTGTAATCATGATTCAGAGCTGAAGTGTGGGAGCACATTTATCTTGTGCTTTCCTTATTACTGGATGACTCAGATTACTTGGCTTCCCTGACTTCCACTGGACATTATCAATTATCCTTCTGCTTTTTGTTTTTATCGTCTTCCTACGGATGACAAAGAATCTCAGAAAAATGAAAGATTTTTTACAGCTCTGAAATTTCAAGGGATCATTTAATTTTAGTCTAACAAAGAGCTTGGATTACTGAAGGCTTCTAATTCCAGAGTCCTACCCTGGCTTCCTCTCAGCAGTTGCAGGATGAAGAAATTAAACCACACACAAGAATGGTCAGTCAGGAGTTTCAACAGCTTAACCAACACTTTCAAAAAGAGCTATTTTGGATTAAAGTCTCAATTTTTACTGCATCAGCCCTGATACTGCATAGAATCATTTAGGTTGGAAAAGACTCAAGCACATTGAGTCCAACACTTCAGCTGCCTACTGCATTCCCTTTATTCCATGGCCATTCTTTGAAGATCCTGTTACCACCTCCCTATGTTCACATGAGGGATATCACTTTAATGAGTGAGACATTTTGAAAGCTGGATTTTAACACATATTTGAAAGCTGTTTATTTTTGAGTTTCTTTCATATTACATTCACAAAGTCAGGATGGATCAGCCTGACATTCCTAAGGGAAGACACAAGAACAAGCCTGCCTTTGAAACAACTCATTTCTGTGAACAGATTGTCCTTTCCTCATACTCTCATTCCCAGCTTGGTGTTCTGCCAAGCAGTTTTTTTGCTGGTTTTGGTCAAATACAATATGCTGCTGGAAACAGCAAGTTGGAAACACAAGTTACAGTCACATGTCCCTCTGCTCTATTCTTCAAGCACTTGCAACCTCAGTGCCAAGATATCTAAATTAGCTACTCCAAACAGTCCCAAGGGAGCACAGGCAGGGATTGGAAAGCCCAGCCATTTGTCCACACTCCAGCTAGAGTGGGTGACATCTTCCCATGGATCAGAACAAGCTCGTGGCTATGGGAATATGCTACCACAAACAGACCAATGAATTCAGACTGTGCAACAGGCACAAAGTACAAGGTGAGAAATGTTCATGTTACCCAAAGAGGGAGGGTGGCAGGTGCAGGGCCTGACTGGATACGTGTTTATATCCCGTGAGGTACAGAAGAGCCCCACAGCAGCAAAACTGCATCTTTCTGGGAGCTGTCACATGCACAGATTAAAAATGAAAGTTCCTCTTCCCCCTTACCTGTCACTTAAGACAACTCCTTCTGCTTCTGGTGGAGCTATTGACAGTTGGAAGGGAGTGTTGAAGTAATGCTGCTGCTCGTCGGATCGATGGACGACTTCTCCACCTCTGACGACCAAAAATCCAGAATCTCCCAAGTTGGCTGTATGTAAACGATGACTTGATCTGTCCAGGACTACTATACAAGCTGTGCTGCTCCCTGCAAACACAGTGACTGCAGTCAGCCCTACAGAAACTGCTTGTTCTCTCACTGATCTGATCAACAGTTCAAATATTACAACATTCATCAAAGCTTGAAAGTCAGAGAAATGGAAATACTCAACAATACCAGAATTAATATAAAATAAAACCAGCAATATGCTAGAAATCTTTGCAATACAAACTATGATTTTTGTGTAGAATTTACTCCTCCTGCTTTGATTTTGGTAAACACGTTATGCTGACAAATACCTGTTTTGTTTGGCTTTATTTACAGTTTTCCATCCCAACGTATGTCAGCACATTCTGCTATAGGACCGGATTTACAGAACTCACATAAAATACTGAAATTCCAAAATCATGGAGATAATAGAATTCCAGTAGCATCCATACAATGCTAGGAGCCCTCCACACAGTTTCACTCAGCTGTAACTAAACCACACCAAGTAAAAAACTGTTTGCAATTAAGTATAAGGTCCTGCTGCATTTCTCTGCTCAGAACATGAAATGCTTTTCCTCTCAGCCTGGCTCTGCAGAGCTTGCTTCAGGTTTAAAAATAATAATCCTGTCACATCTTCAGGACACCAACTCTACAAGTTTAAGAAAATGTTTCAGAGACAAATACAATTCCAAATTAAAGTAATAGCAGAAACATGATGTCAACTGTGCTTGGAACTACCCCAGCCATGCTTGAGGGCACTGAGGAATTCTCCATTCATTCATTGGGAAGTAGCCACCAACTGTGCTTGGTTGCAAGCCACAAAAATGCTGTATTGCAAAGAAACCCAAAGTCTTTCCAGCAAACAGCAACCACTCAATTCTGCAAACAGGACAGCACAGCCACCAAAAGACCTTTCAATCCCCAAGAGAGGGAAATACAGCTACAGCACTTCTGCCCCATATCATCAGATCATGAACTGTCTTCACCTTCTACCCTCATGTTCCTCCAGCAGGATTTTCCAAGCACAGCTCCATGCTGGACAGACCACAAGCTTGCAGTGAGCAAAGCTGAGGATCAGGCTTGCTAGTGCAGAAGTCCAGCTGGCTCCAGGCATTGCCTGTTCCAGACAATTCCCTTTCTAATACAGAGAGTTCCCTGCAATGCACTTGCCCTGAATCTGTTCTCTAGTGAATGCACAGGACCTTCCCTGTCCTTAATGAATGTTAAGTCAAAGCAGTATCTCTGGAAAAAAAATCTGATTTTCCATGTGACAATGTCTAAAACTGTGCTGCAACACAAGAGTGATTAAATAAATGGCAGAGTTTCCTCCCATTTCAGTTTTATTTTACATTATTTGCTGTATTCAATCCTGATGAATCAAGTATCCAGGCTTAAAGCACAACAGCAAGAAGTTATTGCCCAATGAATCCTCCTTAATGAAGTCTTCTCCTGTCCCTTCATTTTAAATAAACTCTAAATGCTCATTGCTGTGGTAATTCCAGGGTTTTATTCCTCCTTCTAAAAATACTGCTCTCAGTTAAAGGAGAAACACTAAGGATCATTAGTTTCAAATTCTAACTCTATTAGCAGAGTGTAACCAGGAGGCCATGTGTGGAATTCAGATCTTGTGACTCAGCACACGCTGCTTTTCAGCACTGCAAAGGTCAAGCCCAGCAAGCTGCTCTGTCTCCAAAGGCACAGGGAGAGCTCTTGCCAGTGCCCCACTTTGCAGCTCACTTACAGCTACACCTGCTTTGCACAAATTCAACACCCCAAATCCTAATGTAATTACTGACCACTGCTATTTTCGTGACACTTAAGGTCACTCCTGAGGTTCCAACCTATTCTTTAGGCATATAATGCAAGAACATCTGCTCCCAGCTCAGCAGACAAGTTAAATATAGCTCACACTGCACTGCTCTGGCACAGGAGCTTAAGGTCAGGTGAGCTGCATGCATTTCATGCAGGGCAAACACTTTCTTGGAGCAGAAGAGGTCTCATGTCCTTTAGAGAAGTGTCCCCTGGGCAGAGCTGTCAGCTGAGACTGAGTGTGGCCTCTCTATCCGCTCCCAGTCCCCAGGCAGCTGAATGTCCTGTGTCCCATCAATGCTGACACAGAATATGTGAAGCATCTACTTCAGCTGGCTTTCAGAAAGATCTGTAATGAATCCCCCCACAAAGTTTATAAAAATAATGCTACCAGAGATTGTATGATATGAACTACTCAAGTCAACCAACTGAGGTTGAGTCCACTGGACATAAAAGGCAACAGGAACAGAGTAAGGTCAGAAATGAGCAGAACTACATCCAGTTATCCTCAGAAAATATTTCTCCTTGCATAGCTGAAACAGAAAGCCATAACCAGTAGCACAAGAGTTTTCAGCAGAGAACAGTTATTTATACATATAAAACACAGAGTGAGCACATGTGCAGTGTTCCACTGCAGAACTTGCTCTGCAAACTCTGAATTCACCCTTCCCACAGAAAGCCTTTTATTTTATATATAAATACACACATCAACACTCTCTGCATTACTAAATTAATTAAAACAGTTTTAGAGAAAATAAGGATGCCACCAAGGCGACTGCATTTCTATGTTTTCAGTTAATTAAGAGAAGTTAACTGCAAATTTGCTGCACACAATGACAAGAGATTCAAGCACCCTTCAGTAAAGCCCATGTGTAACACACAACCCAGATTGAACTGACATATTTTTGTGTCTTACCAAGCAAAGGTACTTTGTTCTGCAGCAGCTCACAATAGCCTGCAGTGAGAATTCCAACAGGATTGCTTGGAACAAACCGTCCTTCCTTTACTAAACGTTCACACGTCCGCATGAGAGTCCCTGAGAACTGAGAAGGGTCCACCCCGTAGTCTCTCCAGCCACCAACACCATCTGCCACCCCTGCAAGGAAACACAAAACCAGAGTTACCTCAACAGAAACGGTTTCCAAAACAAGGGGTTTAATTATTTTATATCACTTATGATATTTAGTAATTAAAATGTAGGACATGGCACCTGCCTGGAAAACATTTTTGATTAACAAATAAATTTCTGAGTATTTTTAAGGTATCTTCTGATATCAGCTCCCCAGCAAATCTCCAAATATAATCTGAACTGATGAAAGGGAGGTAGAAGTCTAATGCTGAGAATGAGGAGGGTGACTCCACTGGAGAACAAATAATGAGATATTTGGGAGCAAGATGGGGATTCAATCCCATTAACCTCTCATCAGTCCATTAAAAGGGAAGATATTTTATTAATTCTAAAAGTGAAGGTCAGCATTTGAACTAGTACAGACATGACACAGAAGCTCTTCCTGCTATTCAGCAGAACAGTTTTTCCTCAGACTACCTCATGTGAAGGACAATGACTTTTATTTGGTGTTCTCTATTTCTGTAGAAAATAAATCTCCATTTGACAAGTGTTTTCCAAAATCCATGTAACCAACACAATGCAGGGACCTACCCCTTTCAAGGAGAGTTTGTTGCTTACAGCTTCAGCCAAGTAAGAGAATGAAAACTGACTATGACTCAGAGAATTTTCTGTTATTCAAAATAACCTGGACATCAGAAAATCAGACCAATTCTGCCAAAGCCTGGGAAGCTTCTAAGCAACAGGGAAAACAGTGACTGTGGTCATGCAAAGGGGATGATCAGAGGGAGGTGAGCAGCAGACAGATTTTCTGCTGGTCATTTGGTTCAAGAACTTTGAACTTCTTCCAAATGCCTAAATGATAAAAGCAAAATACTGTTAAAGGTATTATTTGAGATTAGAATGCTACTATGTGGAAATTTTTCCCAAAATCTTTTCGATCCCCAGCATGGGACAAACCATTTCAACCAGACATTTCCAAAACACAGTAAAGCTGAAATATGTTCATGATAAAAGCGTAAGAAGTGAATTTCAGTGCTCAGATTGTGCTGAAGGACAGCCTCCTCAGGAAAAAAACTCTGCTATTATCAAAGGCATGAAAATGTGAGTGAGAAGATAAAACTCAATTTCCTCATCTCCAAACGCCCTTCACATGGGACACGGTCTGAAACTGAGATGGAAGGTTTAGAGCCGACCTTGGCGTGAACTATAATCTGACAGGAGGTTATGGCCAGATTCTGAACAGCCTATCAACATTAATCAGATTTCTCCCTAAAATAGTGCACAACCTTTTAGACACCTGCTTTGTCCCTCTGCCTTCTCAGAAGAATGTTACAGGAATGCAGATCCCTGCATTCACCTCTTTGAGCAGTCCCCAGGAAGAAGCTCAAGCAAAAGCACCCAGCATTCTCAGAAATGACTTTTCTAGACTCTTCAAGAACAGATTAATCCTCTCCCTACAGGTCTCACAACCTCAGGTTAATACTGGATTAATCCTTTGCTTTCTGCTGCCACACAGACAAGTCTAGAACAAGAGATCATAAAGGAAAGGTTCTAGATCTGGAACTTGAAACAGAAACTCAGCTTCAGGTTAAACGATGGTGCTTTATGTGAAGTTACCAGATAAACATTTTCTTTCCTGCCCTTTAAAATGAACATAGTCCAGATGTATTTCTGCACTGCTTCCCTGACAACAGGGTTAATGCAATGAAAAGATGTTTGACAAACGCTGCCCAAAGCTCTTGGTTCCCAAGGCAGTTACAAAGAAAGCTCAGCAGAAGTTACGGAGTTCCCTCAAGCGATCCATAAAATCCTTTTACATCAGTGTTGGGAAACACTGAAACACAAACACTGCAGCTTTAGCACAGAGTACCAGAAAGCCCTCTCACCAAGCACCTGAGAAGGTCAATTATCAAAACCTATTCAATTTTTAAAGGAAAAATGAGTACACCATCTGCCTTTCTTTGTTCATTTCTTACCCCAGGCAGGAAATGTGAATCCATAATCATGGCAGCACCCTTCATACCCTATCCTGAGCCAGCCTTTGTCTGTCTGCCTTCCTGTCTGCTTTATGCAAGTTATAAACAGCTTAAAGTAGGTTCTGCCAGTGCCTTCCAAAGCAATCACCCTCTAGACATCCCCCAGCAGCTCCTCTGGCTCTGCCTGGTCCCACACCTGAGAGGACACAGTGTCTGATCCACAGCACCAGGACAGCTCTCCTGTCTCCCCATTCCCCAGGCAGACACAACCACTGCATTCAGGAGCAGCCCTGGGAGCTCCTTTCAGTGACACCTCCCCAACCCCCCAGCAGCTACCAACTCTATTTCTTGGCCTTGCCCCAAATGGAAAAGGTGGGGCTTTATAAAGGTTTGGGGCCAAGACCTTTAATCATCCTGTCCAACCTTCAATGTGGTTTTAAAATAAACCCAGCATCTTCACGTTCTGCAATCTCTGTAAACTGAACAGCTTCACCTGGGAAAGGAATATGTGACTTTGAAAGAGTTTGAGTAAACTGCTTCTGAAATAAATGAAATGTAAATGAGAATAAAGCTTAAGTAAACTTTGTGCTATTTGATATACAGCAAACAAGGAGTGAAACTGTTTCAAACTCCAGAAGTAGCAAAACCTAAAAACTCAGCTTTGATTAATACCAGGTTTTCCCTCTGTCATCAAAAGAAAATTCAAAGGTGTTGCTATTGGCAGGATCACTCCCAAGGAATAATGCCAAGCTCTATTTATATATAATACCTTTGCTTTCATCCAAGAAAAAAATAAGGTATATATTCAAAATAATTACCTCTTCAACAAATACTGAGGTCTTCCTTTGAGCCATAAACCATTGTGTTCCAGTATTAACCATGTTACAAATTAGGAATCACAGGACATTTAAAACAAAATGCATGGCTGAGAATTGCTGAAATTGAATTGTACACAAACCCTGGTTTTTTTTTTTTTCATTCATGCCATTCAGTAAATGAGAAAATTTTATACAAAGAACATTTCTGTGGCTATTCCTTGTTCAAGCCCGTGCAGAAATTACACAAGCCTCCACGTGACAGTGCAATGCCTGCAGCTAGATGAACCACCATTGTAAATAAAGCTATTGAAAATTTCACAATAAATTACTTCAAAAGAATAAATACTTCTCAAGTATTTAACTGTATTACAAAGATCTTTCAGAATCTGAGTTAACACTCCACTACATTGCCTTGTGCTGGAAAACACAGAAACATGCCTGCCAGATAAAATACTTGCTGCATGTGTCAATCCAAAAACGGACTTTTTCCAACTCCTCAAAGAGTCAGAATATCAAAATCTCCCTCAGAGAAACACCTGTCAGGCAGTTACGAGACAAAGCACAAATGACTGATGCTGCAGCACTGAAACTGAGCCAGGGAAGATGCTGGTGGTGAAACTTGTTAAAGCTGATTTCAAAATGCAAAAAGCACCTGGGATAAGATACCAGCTGAAATGCAAATGTGAAGTGGTTCTGCCTGCCAGCACATGAGCTCCCTGCAGAAGCCCAGGGAAAAGCAGCCAGTGCTGAAAGCAGCAGTATCTGCTTTTCACCACTCACTTGTGTGAGCGAGATCCAGGTGTTCTCCTGGCTCACAGCAAATATAAACTAAACAAGCTGAAAGTTCATAACAAAGCCCTGATACTGATCAAACCCTGTTTAATATAAATAATGTTATGAGGGGCAGTTCTGGTTAGCTAGCAAATTAACCTGCCCACGGTCAGAGTCCAAAAGCACCACCCTGTCCCAAAAATCTCTTGAGAGTTGGACATTTTGAAATATTGCATCAGCCAAGAATAAAAATCACACACAGAAGCAGCAGGCAGGCACAAATGTCTCAGCAGGAGCTGCTTTTACATGCAACCACAATTAACTTTCTGAGGCACTCTGCACATCCTACTGAACTTTCAATTTCTTGAGATCCTTACCTGAAATAGCAATGAATCACTGCTAAAAGAACATCAAAAGGATATATTTATAACTGTATTTTGCATCAAATATGGAGGCTAAAATGGTAAAAAAGTGCAATGATTTGCACCACACAAGTCTGAAATATAGCACCTAGTATTTGTCAACGTCAGAACTGAGATAAAATGATAAGATTTCTTGTTTTATCAGTGGTGGGATAAATCACACACCTAGACAGGTTCTTCATCTAAACCAAGTTCAATGCTCAAAGCCAGCACTGACCCTCAGCAGCTTCCCTGGATCTGTTAGAGCCAAAGGGTGTCTACCCCCTCAAGGTTTTGACAAAGAAATAACCCAGTTAAATACAAATCCCTAAGGACAGATGGTGTGTGACTGCTAACAAGTTACAGAAAGGAAGGTTACTTATTCACACTGCTACAGTAAAACTTAAACTACCCTTGCACGAAGCAGAAAGGTTCTGGAAGAGTAAGTGGGTAAGTGACAACAAGGAGCAAAAAGCAAAGGCAAAGTGAGCAATGATCTTGAGGAACAAACTGAAGGAGAAACACGGAACTGGAAACATTAAATTGTGCACCTACTCCCAGAAGAAAGCAACAGTTCCTTATATCTATTTTCCCCTCCCACTCCAGCACACTTGTTCCTGAAGCTGATTTTTGCCAGGTAGATTTCCTCCCTATTTTATTGAAGCCTGAGAAATCACTCAGTGCATTTGGGGAGCTCCAGGAGAACACTAAGCTATAAATTATTTCTGCAGACTTTATAAAAAAATCCCTAGTTACAACTACCTAATTTCTCAAGGTGTTCAGTGACTGTGGAACTGCTGAGGAAGGGCAGGTACTGGGGGCAGACACTGAAATAAATCCCTGCCAGCCTGACCCACCTCAGGCTCAGTATTCACAGCACGGATGAACCAGAGCAAAGAGCAGATTTTTCCAGTGCTTCCTATGGCATAGGTATGATTAACCCTCATATAGCTACACCCTCACAAGCTTTGCTGATTTCCCTCTGATTTCTGACAGAACCTGCTCTTCCTTCAGGCCAAGATCTGTGTATGAATGGAAAACTGGCTGCCATCAAGAAGCATCAATAGCATTTACAGTTAAAACTAGTGCTCCACTGGAAATTCTGACCTCAATATTTGTGTGCAATGTCCTTGCAGAAACTGTGGGAAAGAAGAATAACCAGATATAAGTTTCATTCTCAGAGGTTACATTCAGTGCTGCTCCAGAGCAGCTCTGCTGACACAAAGTCAGCCTGTGACTGTTAATGGGGTGGTTCTCAGTCTGCAGTGTCCCTACAAACGCCAGCACTGATGCTCCCACATTAAACAGAACATTTCCTGTGACCTGTTACAAACCAAGGCACGTGTGCAGCTCTGCAGATCTCTGATCCTGCCTCTCAGGCTCCCTGAGCTCTCACATGCAGTAGGTGAAAGGTGACTCTGAGGGAGGCTTGGCTCCTTTAGTGTGATAAGTTGTGATAAGGCAGCAATCTCTTTAATAGGTATGATACCAAATAAACCACTTAACACAGTCCTCTATAACCTTCAGGCTTCCAAGGAAGGATCCCTCCCTCCTCTACAGCTGCCAGCACAACCTTGACATTTCATCTACAAATCCTTTTAGGTGCTGAAGTTTACTTTTCCTGATGACAGTGACACTAACAATATTCCAGGGCTTTGTCACTCTGTAGTTTTACCTACCTCCTATGCATGCTGCTGATAAAATTTTCAAACCAAGTGCAGTTCCTTTCTCTTTAGAGTAGCTGCCCTGCAGCACCCAGACACTCCCCTCCCCCAAAAACTAAAAATCAAAGATTTGCAGCAAACAGAACAATTGTCAAATTTTAACTCTGCAGTGAACAAACACTTTCCTGCTGGCAGACAGTATTTCCTTACTCCGGGGGACAGAAATAGTTTGGAAGAGTCAAGTCACACTGGCTACACCCAAAGTTGTACCCAGCACAGACATTGTATAAGTGATGCTGTCACGGGATGCGCATTGGCTGCTGCAATGTTTCAATAATGAGTCACACAACAGCTTGGAAAATCCATAAAAAACGAGCAAAGACATCGGGAGCCTGATAAGGCCAGAACAAGCAAGAAAAGGCAGACCTCAAAATTAAGGAAAAAAACTATCACTAGCATGTGACACCTCAAATTTCTAGAGGTGAAAACCTTGGCTTTAACCTTTACTTTTGGTAATTTAGTGAAATGACTGTAAGGTTAATTTTTAAAATTTGGCTTGTTCCCTACGTAGTAAAAATCCTACTTGCATGCTAATGAGAAAAAACAGAGGTGTCAGAGTTTTGGTTTTCAGCTTTGAAAAAACAGTATTTCTGTGCTCAAAACTTCCAAAGGCATCACGCATTAAGCGGTACAGAACATGTCCCAAATCTCTGTGAGAGATTTCAATATTCTGAGGATCTGAACACCCAAGACACTGGCAGTGAATGAACAGAAAAGTACATCGTGGTACAAGCAGCAGAGAAAGGAAACACAGGCCTGAATTGTAAAGCCCTAGAGAGTAACATTAGCAGTAAAGCCATTTCCTTAGGGTGATCCCTAAGGAGAAACTGCTGTTCTGAGCTTCTCATTTCTCCCTGTGCTCAGAATGGGAAGAAAACATGCAAAATTGACAATTATGTTCCAGATAAAAGCAAAAATGAGAGACAAAACGCTCAAGGATTCACCAGTAACAGGCCTTATCATGCCTTGAACAACTATGGGAGGACAGGAAAGAACCTGAACCTTCATCAGCCTTCTGCTGATCTTACTGTGAAAGGACAAAGCCCAGACTAGAAGACACTGTTAAACATTCAGCCTTTGAACTGTACAGCACACATACAACAAAAGAAGTGTTTAGCATTTTGATTCTGCTATAAACACACTGCCAAGTCAACTCTTGTTTGACCTAAGAAAATGAATCCCCAAGCACTCATGCCAAGTGGTTGGGAGTAGTTCCTTCACTGCTCCACCACACCCAACCCATCCCACACAGGCAGGCTCTCCATAGTACACTGGTTCTAGAAAACACTGGCACAGAGGAATGTTACATTAATTATCTGGCCTGGCTTTGTCACTGAAGACTGTTCACTCCAAGTGGTACACTTGAAATTTACTGTGTCAAGTGTTCACTTTGGCTCAAACCACGTGAGCCTCTTCCTTAAATGTCAAAAAAAATTAAGTTTGAAACCCAACAGTGCAGCTCAGGGAGTTTTGTTGAGGTGCAGATTAGGTACTGAGGTAGCACAAAATTTATGAGGGTCTTAAAAAAATCATGAAGGAACCTCAGAACTGTGATGGGAATGAGAGCAATTGAGGACAGGAAAACACTGGTGGTGCTGAAACTGTCTCTGCAGCAGTGCAAAAGGGCTGGTTGAGAGAGTAAAGAGATGACCCCAGCAGCAGAAACTGGAGAAAACTACCATGTCTGTAAACCTAGGAGCTACAGATGAAGGTGCATCAAGTTAGAAGCATCAAAACCCACCTGAACATTGCTGTTTTTGCAGAAAGTACAGAGATTTGGGGTTTTCAGTATGTATATTAAAAAAGCAATAAAGAACTGATATAAAAATAGCTTTACCAGGGGAGAAATCCCAAATTAAAACATAATCAATAGATAAAACAAATCAACAGATTTTCTATTTAAATTATTTGCTTCTTGGTACTTAAGACATCCTGGGTCTGCTGCTCTCTTTGCTGTTTGATCCTAAAGTGGAGCTACAATTCTGTTTGTTTCCAAGTTGCCATGAAAATTAATGCAAAGACCAACTTAGAAATGCAACTCTCTGTTGATTGCAGCAGGAACACAAGACAAACTGTAGGTCCACATACAGTAATTACCAAATATGGCCAAAACCCCCTAAACACCATCAAACAGAGCTAAATCTGTCTCTTCCCCACACAGAGTCCACTTCAAAGTACAGGAGATCCTGCACTTCTCTTAAGGGCAAACACCAATTGCTCAGTTATTTATCAGTGCTGGCCTAGCATGAACTTTAAAGGCAGCCAGGCTTAGTCACATGCTAAAGGAAGGGTGTCCAACAGCTAATTCTAATCCCAAAAAGTTTATCTGGAAGAGGCACCAGAGAGAAGATGATGAGTGTCTAAAATGCACCCACCAGCCTTCCACCTCTCGAGAGCTGCGGCATCATTCTTACAGTAACAGCTTCCTCGAGAATAAGCAGCAATAACTGTTACCTAGCACCAACTCGCAGCTTCCTGAGGAAAACCTCTCGGGCTCCGTTAAATGGCAACCAAGTTACAACGACAGCGCCAAACTGAAGAACCACCAACCACTTCCACAGCATGAGACAGCACAGTGCAACCCCACCGGTTTAAAATAAATAAACTCCAAAACCCTAAAACAAGACAAAGAAACACGGACAGGGGCAGGGAGGAGGAAGCTTTTTCTTAAGTGTCAAAGTTTTGGTAAAAATTTGCTTCTGGTAGTTACACCATGACTAACTTGTGCAGAGTGACAGTCAGCCAAATTCAACCTTGAGTACACAGGAGAAAGGTCAAAGCACTGTCAAAAGCGATGTTGCTCATAGTCTGAAGATTCTATTGATTATCCATAATTACTCACTGCTTCTAAAATTTGAACCCTTAAGATTCATTTCGCCAGTGATTCTAAACCAGAGAGCGCAATCAGGCCAGAACAAACAACGAAACTGAAGTTTGACATTTGATTCCAGTCTCAATGTCACTCTGCCTTTCACTTGACAAGGACATTGCACGCGTTAAAATCAGGAAGTGCCTGCTCAAGCGATCTTGTCTGTTTAAATGCAATGCATGTACACGGGACCCAGGTTTTAAAGAAAGACAGAAAGTGAAACGCACTGGGAGCCGTTTCTCTGAGTTTTGGAGCCACCAGGCCTTACAGGCACTCACAGGTGAGACGCCCAGACTGGGCCGGACACCCGGCACACACAACCCCCCATGCCAAAGGCGGGCAGAGCTGCAACAAAGAGCACGAGAGCTTCCTTGGGAAGCTAAAAAAGCGAACTCATGGTGACACTGACAGGCAGAACCGGCTCCTTTGTCTGAGACCGGGGCTTGAGCCGCTCGCCATGTGCAGCTCCGGGAAGGAGGGGGGGGTCACACAGCGAGGTCGGAGCCGCCTCAGCCCCCGGCCCGGTCACTCACCCAGCACATCCGCGGTGCGGTGCCGCGCCACGAAACAGGCGTCATCCCCGTAGCACATGCCTTTCTTGAGGATGCCCTTGCGGAAATCTTTGCCGAAGCCACAGCTGGCCGTCACCAGGCTGTAGTCGCGGGAGTCCGTCTGCGACAGGCCGCCCAGGACCGCCCGCGCCACCAGCCTGCCGTAGGAGAGCACCGAGAACATGGCGTGGGGCGCCCAGCAGCCGAGCGCCAGGAACGCGGGGATCCACCGGCGCAGCCGCCTCCTGCCCGCCGAGCGCCAGCCGCAGGGCGCCAGCCTTCCTTCCCCTGCCCGCCGGCCCGCGCCGCCGCTGCTCCGAGCCCTGCCCGCCGCGGAGCCTCGTCCCTCCGGCTGCGGCTGCGGTTCACCCGCCCTCGCCGCCCCTCACGGCCCGCGCGCTGCCCCTCGCGCTGCCCCTCACGGCCGGGCTCGCCGGCAGCGCCCCCGCCTTCCGCGCCACCCTCCCCGCCCCCCGAGGGGGGCTGTGCCAGCTCCCCGCTGCCCGCGGAGCTCTCGGGGCTCCCTCCGGGCTCGCTCCCCGCCGCCCGCGGTGCCCGGTCAGAGCCGCCCGCGCCGCCCCCGCGCCCCGCCGCCCGCCGCCGCCGCCATCTTCGCCGCGCGTGCTGAGGTGAGGTGAGGGCCCCGGCGCTGGGCGGGGCGCGAGGCCGGCCCCGCCCCCTCCCCGCCTCCCGGCGCGCGTGCGCGGCAGAGGAGCGCGGCCGCCCCCCATTGGCTCCCCGCCCCGCCTCATTTGCATGTTGCGGGACAATAACAGCGGGCGGCTCCCGGCAGCCCCCGCGGCGCCGAGCGGGGTCCGCGCCCCCGCCCTCGCCGGCTCTCGGCCGCAATTAACGCAATTAACGCAATTAACGTTCTCACAGCGGGCACAGCGCGGCTGCGCCTAACCCACATACTTGCCCTCCACGCCCCGCGCGTCTCGCGTGCTCCGAATAACTCGCGGGGACGGGCTGGCCGGCGGTGCCCCGCGCCTGCTGAGGACGGTTATGTGAGTCACGGCGCGCAGAAATGCGCCGGGTTTGGTTTTTCCCGAGGGGGACGCGCCCTGTTCTCCCCGGCTCAGCGCCGGCCGTGAGAGGCTTCTCTGCAAAGCCCTGGCAAGGCTGGCAGTTAATCCATTTTGGCTAAGGAACGTGAAATGCCAAACAAAAGCCTCACGAGAAGGGTGTGTTGTGCGGGCATCGCTCAAACCCCATAAAACCACTTTAATTGTAGTTGAGAGTGACACAAAGATCTCAGCTGGACGATTTCAACGGCAACGACTTGAAGGTATCAATGTTGCAGAGACCCACAATACTCAATAAAGACCCAGTTCCTCATTTTCTGCACCTCGGTTTTCCTTGCTGCTCGTGGGTGTGCAAACAATGGTTTTGTCCCCTTGGAAGTTCCCAGCAGGTTGCTCTGCAAATTCGTTTAATTCCTCTGGGTAGAGGCACAAGAGGCTGCTGCCACTTATACAACCCGAGACAACAAACAATAGAGTGCAAATACAGCAGAGGAAGGTGTGAAACCTGCCCCAGAGCTGCCTGCAGTGAAAGGAAGAGCTCTGTGCCACACTGCTGCAGAAGCACCCTCACTGTCACACGGGAGGCATTTTGCTCCCTGTGCACCTTGACAGAGACAATATTGCCCCTCATACACTGCTAAAGGCTTTAAGCAATGTGTGAGAATTATCCAGCTAAAGCTGAAATTGTATCTAAACTTATTAAAAAAATTAATCCTCCTGTTAGAACAGGGAGAAAGGGAATGAACACGAGGAGCAGCCCAGAGTGGTGGATTAGGGAATGGCTGCACAGCTGAATGTGGCAGTGTGCTGGAGATAAGGGAGTGCTGCTGCCAGGGCCTGGCAGGGTGTGAGAGCAGACAAACAAGGTAGCTCCTCTCAGTGCCTCACACCCTCCTTTATCAGCGAAGGGAAGCACATATTTGCAGATCTTCCCCCACAGAATCATTCTTTCCCTTCCTTGAGTCTCGTTCTTCCTCTTCCTTGTCCAGGTCCTGTCTAGTTCCAGTCCAGCCTGGCCTAACCCTTGCCTGCGGTGCCCTGAGGCAGCTCGGGATGGGTGCAAGGTGACCTGTCCTGCATTCCCTGGCTGTGCTGCTCAGCCTGTGATCCCCCCAGCTAAAGCTGAGTTCTCAATGCTGAGTTTTCCAGGGCTGGAAGGGTTCTCTCTGTGCCACTTTGCCCAGCAGGCACGGCTCAAACGCTGAGGAACATTGTGAGCTCAGGGCTGACAAACTCATTTGGCAGAGCACGACTCTGTGCTCCCAACCAGGAGCTCTTCACACTCCTCCATCCTTGAGAGTCTTGGAAACAGCCTCCCTGGGGAAGTGGTGGAGTCACAATCCCTTGGAGAGTTCAAAAAATGAGTAGGTCACTCATCACTTTGTGACACAGTTTAGTGGGCATGGGGGTATTTGGTGGAAGCTTGGCCTTGATCTTGGAAGTCTTTTCCAATCTTAATGATCCCATGATTCTACCCCAGGTCACCCACCCAAGTCTGTCCAGACAGCCAGATGACCTCAAAATGTACATGGTAATTAGTAACCTTTGATGAACTCTGCACGGTTGTGCCCAGATGAAAAACTGCTCCTGGTTCTCATTCAGGGTATCTCTGAGCTCCTGTGAGACAAAACCCCAACTATTTTTAATAAAATACTTCAGAACTGGTTTTCTCCGCTGCTCAGTGTCAGTCTGAACAGTTCTCCCTGTAAATCCCCCCCAGCCCATGCCCTGCTGCCTTACTCAGTGTTATTCTTGTACCCTGAGAGTCGATATCCTGCCAAGTGATATTTGTTTAAAATTCCCCAATGCACAAATTTGGCACAAAAACTGGACCAAAGGGCATCCCCCTGGTTACTGCAGCTGGGTGGAATCTTCCCACCTCAAAGTCCAAGATCTATTTACATCAGCTCACTTAAGCTGCAAAAAACAGAATGAACTCTTCCTGCTAGGCTTGTCCAGACCAATAAATGCACTGGGGAGTGCAAAGCAGAAGTGCTGCACAAAGTAATCAACTGCTGAAGGCACAAGCAGGTTTCCAGCTTGTTTTAAAACTGATTCAGTGGTAGCTGATGTCAATCCTCCCTCCCAAGTATCTGAGCCCTGAGACTGGAGTGTGATAAATATTACCTGTAATGCCATCTGCTGTACAGACTGCCCCAGCTCCTCACTATTTATTTAAGGGCTAATCTTGTGCTAGACCAAAATGCAGTTTATTTCAGCCTGGTTTGACTTTGTTTGGACTCTAATTCTAAATGCCTGTCCACTTGGACTTGTAAAGTGATCTGTCATAGGGCAAACCCCATGTTAGCCCTGAAAAGATGAAGTTCAAGACAGCACAGTTGGATTAAAAAGAAAACTAATGTGATAAGGACCACATGAGGCTTCCCACGTGAGGAGTCAAGAGAAGATGCAGAGTCAGAAGATCACCAGCAGGAATCACAGAATGGTTTGAGGGGATCTCAAAGATCATCTCATTGCACCCCCTGCCATGGGCAGGGACACCTTCCACTATCCAGCTCCAGCCTGGCCTTGGACACTTCCAGGGATGGGGCAGCCACAGCTTCTGTAATGCTCAAATGCACATCAGAGTCTTGCTGCTGAAACTGTAATTGAAACAGTAACAGAGTAAACCCCTGAACGTGTTTTTTAATAAACAGGAATCTACTGCCTCTCAAATTGCTTGAATTTTCATTTTATAGGACCTCCCAGATCAGGATCACAGTGCCCTTTTTAATTATTAATTAGCTCATGTTGACAGGATAAATGAAATCTCTCTGCTGGAGAGCAAGCATTATGTATTGATGTCCTGATCTTATCCTACACACTTGGAGTTGCTCTTTGGAACCTGTTTCAGAAGTCCAATACCAGGGTGAGTTTTGTGGTGGGGAGGTTTTTCAAATGGTTTTTCTTAGATGCCTTGCCTTTCTCTGCATGACAAATGTGGGGTTTTTTTTCCTATTACAGCAAGTATTTTAAGTGGATTTAGGTGAACTGTTGCTGTGAGTGAAGCCCTAAAAAAAAAAAAGGTCACGAGAAAACCAGATTAATTCCATCCTACTTTGCTTTTGAACAGTTGCCCACTTCTATTCCATTTCAATGGTAGATGCAGTAAGAATTAATACCTCTTTATTCATCCAGCTCCTGCCCACATTCATCCAGGGTGCAATCTGTGCTTTCAGATTTCAGCAAGGCTTGGTTTTCTTCTTGGAGTCTGGTCCCCTGTGCACCATCAGCTTTGCCAAGTAATTCCCGATGCAAGAAGAATGTATTAAATTCTGTTTTCCCCTGTGCAATGTCATCAGCCCTTTTTTACTGATTTTAAAGGCATCAGAAACGTGTAAACTAACAAGCAGGGGTGTTTTAGTATTAATTATCTCATGACACCGCAGTGGAACAAGGACACAGATCACAACCAGTGATGATTAAATAAACCAAGCACCACTCTCCCTCCAAGCCTGCAAAACAAATTCCAGGTTTCCAACTTTGCAGGACTTGTAGGGAGGAGAAACACCTCCATCCTTGTTAACTGACCATGTGGGAGCTTAGCCAAGGAAGCTGAAGGGGCTGTAAGGCCCTAAACAGCTCCATCCAGAGGGAGGTTGTGTCTCAGCCACGTGCTCCAGCTGTCCTTCCTGCAGGTTGCCTCTCTTTTTGTTCCTTTGCTGTGGGACAGTGACAGAGATGGAGATGTAAAGGTTCCCAGGATTTCCTCCAAACACAGGCACACGTTCTCTTCAGAGAATACCAGAACACTGCAGCCAGTCCTGGTACAGCCTCGATGAGAAGCAAGAAAATAAAGTTTGGTGCCATTTTTACAAGTCCTTTTCAAAATGGAAGTGTGTGAAGTCACTCTGAGCTTGGAAAAAACAACAACCCCAACACCAGCAGCAGCATTTGGCCACCTCAGGAACAGCAAACAAAGAGACTGAAAACAGCAGCTCTTCATGCCCATGGAAGAAGGCAAACACAGAGATTTTGGGTTAAAAATCACAAGGAAGGCAGGCTGGAGGTTATTTTTGGTGAGGTTATTTTGGGGTGTAATTTCTGAGGCAGAGTGGAGCACGGGGGGTTCTCACCTTTGGGTCACCGTGTCCTTGGAGGAATGAGGCCTTTCCACGGGCAAGGATGACTCCAGATTTTGTTCCACACGACTGGAGCTGTTTGAAACCCATCTCTGATAACATCAAAGGGCCTTGTGTGACTCCTCCCTCGCCCCTGTGATGTGGCCGCGGCAGAGGAGGGGCACCGTGCGGTTATTTCCATTTTCAAAGGGTGCAGCTGGAGTTTTAGGGCTTTTGAGAGCTTTTGGTGCCTTCCCTTCGAGGTGACAGTAATGAACCTGGTCAGGGAAATAAAAACAGAGCAAAGAATTTTTAAAATCTAAGGAACCCTAAGAAACAATGACTTAGTCACTCTCTAGCCCAGTTTTTTTTCCCAAATTAGTAAAAAAATAGAATAATTTAGGTTGAAAAATACCTCAAAGGTAACTGTGCACATGAAAAGATTACTAATGATTACTGAATATGCTCACTGAGCACTGAGGACCCACAGCATCTTCAAAAGGAGAAAGTTTAACACTTTAAAAATTACTTCAAGGAAAAGATTACTAAAAAAAAAGATGCAAAAGTACGTGAAATATAGTTATATATATATAATATATATAAATATATAGATATTTGATGCAAAAGTACATGAAATATAGTTATATATATCATATATATAAATATATAGATATTTTATATGTCGCAAGGGGCCATTCCCCTATTTTTTTTTCTTTTCTTTCTTATTTTTTTTTTTTTATTCCGTGGCCTTGCAGTTGTTCCCAAGCCACCTTCGTGGGTTACACTTGGATCACTACACCTGAAGCCCTTCCCGTGCCTCTGAGGGGGCACCGACCCCTCATCACCGCCGGGCTCTTCCTGAGAGCGCTGGGCGCCACAAGCGGCCGCCTGGCACCACCACGGCGGCCACATCCAGCCAGAACCCTGCGCGTGGCCTCCCCCCGAGGCTCGCCGCGCTGGGGGGCGATGAGGGAGCCCGAGGGCGGCTGAAGGAGCCGCAGACGCCCGGGGCTCTGCCCTCCCCTCGCCCGCCATGGTCCCGGGGCGCGGCCCTTCCCCTCCGCCCGCCAAATCTCGCGAGAGCGGGACTCGCCCTTCCCGTCATGCCCCGCGCGCCCTGGCAACGCGCTGTTGCTAAGGGCGGCCGCCATGGCGGCGCCGCCGGGGCTCGGGGTGTTCTTTGTCCTCATCCTTCTCCTTCTGTCGCCGCCGCTCCGGGCGGAAGAGCCGGCCGCGGAGCCTGAAGATACTCGTGATGCCGCACAGGTGCGGGTCCGCAGCCCGCCGGCCCCGGTCACGGACGGTGGGTGCCCTCCGGGCGCTGCGGGCACCGGCGGCGCTCGCCGGCTGAGGGGAGCCCCGCTCGCGGCCTCCCTCGGGCATTCGACCTTTGGCCTCCCCTTCGCGGGACTGGCACACCCTCCCGGCTTCTCCGGGGGATGTCTGGAGTTCTCTGCAGGCCTGGGAGCTACAGCCGAGGCCGCTCGGAGCCTCCTCGGGAAGGCTGAGCCTGAGCGGCCCGCAGGCCCTGGGCACGCTGATGGTGGCATGGACATCGCAGTGCAGGGCATCCCACAGCGCTGAGGGCCCGTGGGGGTGGAGGGCAGGGTCTGCTGCCCGCCCAGCACTGCCCTGGGTGTCCTTGGAGAGCTCCAGCACAGCCCTAGCTGGCTGCGCACTTTGCCCCGAGGGTCAGCCCCGGAGCTGTGGATACATTGTGATAAAAGCAGAGCTCGCAGAGTTTGGTTACTGTGTTCTCAGAAGGTGTTTCCCGCTGTATAATTTACTACACTTTTGTATCACTTTTGTATCGGGTGGTGTTGCCCTCAGCTGAGCTTTCCATGGGTTACTTGCCGAAGGAAAGCCACCCCTGTGCTACCTCCTTAGGGAAAAGGGATTTAAACCCCTAATCTCACAGACATAACCTTGCAATCTAATCATCCACGTTTAAACTTCTCTGTTTACAGGGTGAGCTAAGGATCCAGGGCTAAGCTCAGCCAACAGAACAGTCAGAACTTCAGAGATTCCAGGAAATACCTGGATACTGTTCAGGTGGTCAGAGAGCATCCAGGGGGCCACAGGGAAACAGGCAGCAGTCAAAGTGAAATAAAGGAATTAGTAATGAAAGTACTCTTTGAATGTCTTTCTTATAAAACACTGGCCTTAATTTTCCTCATTCTGTGCTATTCTTAAGTCTAAATTATAGAACAGCCACTCTCAAAAACAGTTCAGTAGAATAATATCTGTTCTTTGAATTTATAAACTTGAAGACCTCAGAGAGTCTGAAAAATTTGCCAAGTGTATTTTACTGAGCCAGTTTACAGAATTATTGGCAATTACTCTGTCTGTGATTACAATATTTCACAGTATCCAAAAACAGAGAGAAAAAACAGTTTCAAAGAAGTCAAGTATGGTTGTTTTGGCACATCAGGAAAATGTATTCCTGGACCCTGAGCCATCCTCAAAACTTGTAATCATCTCTGCTCTTTCAAAATGTGTTATTTTTCTTTCTAATAAGCTGAAACAAGCAGATAAACACACCTTGTTGGTATCTCTCATTTTTTTTTTCCTCTGCAAGGCTGAGTAGATTTTCACACCTCCAAAATCCCTGATGGGTTTTGTTTCTCAGGGAACACTTTTTACTATGGCTTGCTTTTATCCGCATGTTCCAAAATAAATTTGCTCAGCAGCAGGAAAGATGGCTTTTTAAAAACACCTTCAGGAAAACCTGGATTTGCAGAAATCCTTTGCCCGCTATCAAAACCAGGGCGAGGCGATCAGCGGAGGTGTTTGGGCGGTGCTCTGAAGCGTCCCCGCTGCGGTTTCTCATCCCGCTCTCTGCCGCAGTTGCCAGGCTCTGCGTCTGCGACCTGCTGGTGGCACAGTGCGACACCAACTGCTGCTGTGACCCCGACTGCAGCGCCCAGGACTTCAGCCTCTTCACCACGTGCTCGGTCCCCGTGGTCGTGTGAGTGCAGAAATAGCCAGAAAGCACAAAACCCTTCTTCCTTTGCTGCCTGTCCTCTCCTCTGGGCAATTCCCACCCCTCCCTGCTGCCATCCTTCCACCGGTCCCTGCTGCACTCTGTCCCCAGCCAGGCAGAGCAGAAGATCCACTCCCACCCAGTTCTTTCCCTCTCTTTCCCTCTTTCCTCCTGTTTCCCTGTGCTCCTGTCTGTGGGTGTTTAGGTGCTGCTTTTTTGGGGGTAAGAATGATGCATCTCTAGACTTTGGTCAATGCAGTGTCTGGCAGTTAGAAAACTGATCCCAAAGGACCAATCTGGCCACTTGTGTAGATCACCAGTTTTTGTCAGTAAATTTATCAGTGACCTCTTTGATTGCATTCATGATATCAGCTGCACAATCAATTCAGAGCTTGTTGAAATAGTGTGAGCATTTTTCTGACCCTAATTTTACAAGTCACCATCCAACCTGCTCCCCCACTGCCACTTCACAAACAATAAAATGTAACATTATACCAAAAAAGTAAAGCTAAGGGTTGTTTCTTTGCTATTTAATCTGAAAACACCTTCACCCAATTCCATCTTCTCAAAGAGGAGTTAAGAAAACTCACTTCAGAATCATAATGTGCAAAAAATTTCTTGGTGACTTCTCAGAACAATAAGTGCAGCTTTTCAACCCACCTTCTGTATAAATTATGCCAATCTGAGCACTGGGTTTATTCTTGGTGCTTTGGAATTTGAATTAGCAGTCATGCCAGACTGTGGTTTCTTATTGTTCTGGCACACAAAAGACTCCTGCTCCCCATTTATAGATATTTATATAGATCAGAAAGGTCTAATCAACACCCTCCTGAGTGACATTTTAATTGCCTCAGATGACTGTGCTGCCTTTGTCAACTAGAAATGCCTCAAATGAAATTGTGTTTCTTTGCCCAAATTCTTTTGTGTAAAACGTTTATTTTGCATGAAAAGCCAGGGGATTTTCAGTGTCTGCAGGTGTTGTGGGTCTCGTTATTTACATCAGAGTTTATCTACATTTGCATATTTGTGTTATTTTGGCTGATGCCAAGGCAGAGGCCGTGAGATCTCTGCAACAGCAGCAGAAGGATTTGATTTATGATGGGATCCTGTTGGGTTTGATTTATGATGGGATCCTGGTAACAAATGACTCACCTCATGGAAGAGCTTAACTCCAGGCTTCAAAATTTCTGAAAGTCATTTCACTTCTCCAGGGCCTGTCCTTAGCTGCTCCGTGCTGCTAAATACCAGTTTCACAGGGACCATCAGCTGGTGTTTGTGGCATGTGGGACACACCAGCCCTGCCAGGCTCTGAACTGGCACATTCTCCTGCAGCTCTGGGCTCCTGATGAGCCCGTGGCACAGCCTTAAACACTTCTCCAAGACAGGCTGGGTTATTTCACCTTCTGCCATTTCTTTCACATGCATCTCAAGCAGGAATTCTTCCCATTCCCTGCTCAAATTGGGTATTATTCCAACATCCACAAAACTGACCTGTTTTCCTGCTCTGACATCCCACTTGGGTTGTAGAAATGAAAGTGCTGCTGAGCTGTGCATGGCCTCTGGTGCAGCCCTGCATTTTTGGGGTCTCAACCTTCTGGATCCCATCCAATTTGGAATTTTCCCTCTCATATTGTCACTGGTTTTCCCTCCCCCAGTCTGTTTCTTACCTTCCTTCATGTTGCTGCTCACGTTTTCCTCTGCTGAATAAAACATGTGGGAGAATTCCCTATTATTTATATTAAGCACAGAGTATAAAACAACAGGAACCTTCTAAGGATGCACAATTGTTTTACAAATTATGTTAAATTCAGTAATTTCATGCTTTTAAAATTTTTCTGGTGCTGCCTCAGTAGATTAAAAGAACTTTAAAATCTGGCCAACACTAACTTCTAGTGGATCATTAATTTCTTTTGTTTCTTTGCAGAGGTGACAGCCAGCTGTGTAGTCAGAAAGCTGCTGTGTATTCTCTTGATGTTGAAGCAAATCCACCAGAAAGGATATTTAAATTAATTGACCAAGTCAATCCCAGTATTTTCTGCATTCATGCTGCAAACTGTAAGTAGAGTTGTAGGCAATATTAAGCATTGTGATGTTATTTTTTGCAGGCTCTTTAGGTACCAGAAAAAAACTAAATTTAAATCTATTTTTGTTTCATTAAACCTCTCAGGAAAGTGGTAGTTCTGTCTGCTCACAGTCCTTGTGTTGTGATCCTTTCACTTGTGAAAACATGGAATTAAACATCTGCTACTCTTGGTCTTCTCTGTTGGAAAAAAACCAAATTAATTTGTGGGTGGTTTTTAAAGTTGTCTCATTGTTACTAAGTATTGTTTCTGTATATTTTTTCTTTAAATTATCTCCTTCTTTAAATATTTTGACAGATAAACAAGCCCTGTACCTCAAATCTCCTGAAATCCCAACTGCAGAAAATTTTGATCAGTTGCTTGATAAATTTGGAGGTGCTACTTTCAGTGCTGAGCCTGACAGCTGGAATTTGGATACAGATGCTCAAAATTCCCCTGAGGCCAATGAAACTTCCAGATATGAGGTAAATTATCTGATTCAATAGGAGGTAAATGATATTTGATGCAATTAGTATTAGATTATTCCAGAAAGAAGAAAACAGCAATGTTTGCATCTGCTTTTAAATAATGCAGTTCTGCTGGAAGAAGCAAAATTTATATTGGTCTTTAAATATAGAAAAGTAAAAAGAAGAAATGTAATATTTTGTGTTTTGTTACTTAAAAAGTGAACTAGATTTTTAAGATCTTTGAAAAATAAGGCACTTTTTTTTCCTGCTATTTTCAGCATAAAGCTGTAGCAGTGACTGAATAATTGCTGTACAGAGCATTATTGAGAGATCCTGTGGAAATAAGTACTGCTTTTATTCATATTTGTTGTTAATAAAAATGGGTTGAAACACACCTGTGTACCTGACTGTGGTTTTTTTTCTGGCAGTATGGGGTTCCTGTCCAGACAGAGGATGCATTTCTAAGGCTGCCAAGTCCTGTTGTCTCTTCTTGGTGCTCTGATGCAAATCCTGCAGGTTGGAAAGTACACTTGAAACCCAAATTTTTGTT